ATGGGTGTCTCGGATTCGCACATTCGAGGTTCTATGCGAAGCCGCTGGCGGCGCTCGTCACCATGAAGGGCAGAGAAATCCTCATGGACACCAAAGAAATCGTCCAAAAACTGAACTATGAGGTCGTCTACGGAGACACCGACAGTTTGATGATAAACACAAACTGCTTAGACTACGAACAAGTATTCAGGATCGGAAATGATCTAAAGCGAGAGATCAATAAAAAGTACAAACAGATCGAGTTGGATATCGATGGAGTTTTCAAATATCTCTTATTGTTGAAAAAGAAGAAATATGCCGCCGTAGTTGTGAGTAGAAATAAAAATGGGGAATTGGTGTACGCTCAGGAGCACAAAGGTTTGGACATTGTGAGACGAGATTGGTCTCAGTTAGCGGCCGAAGCGGGGAAATTCATCCTTAGCCAGATCCTCTCCGAACAAAGTGCGGATGAAAGACTTGAAAGCATTCAGAATCATTTGAACAAGCTGAAAGATGACCTCATGAGCAATCAGATACCTCTATCGCTTCTAACAATAACGAAACAACTTACGAAAAACCCGAACGAATACGCCGACAAGCACGCTCAACCGCACGTACAAGTCGCCCTCCGACTAAATAGTAAAAACAGTCGCCGATTCAAAAAGGGCGACATAGTCCCTTACATTATATGCGAAGACGGAACCGCGAACTCGGCTACCCAAAGGGCGTACCACGTGGAGGAACTAAAAAGTTCTGATAATCTCAAAATAGACTTCAGATATTATTTAGCGCATCAGTTGCATCCGGTCATATCCCGTATCTGTGAGCCCATCGAAGGCATGGAGCCGGCGAGAGTGGCAGATTGCCTCGGCCTCGACCCGTCCGGGTACCGTCAGGCGAAAAAAGACAACACGGAGACGTACGAAGTAGAGAATGAGCAAGAGAAGTACCGGTATTGTAAAGAGTTCAGCTTTGTTTGCGTCAATGAGAGTTGTAAAGTGGAGAATCGGATAAGAGATACGTTGCTCAAAGGGGATAAAGATAGTGTGACGTTTTTAGAGAAATGTCAAAACGAAAAGTGTGAATTACGACCGGTTGACTATTTGGCGAGTGTGCAAAATCAGTTGAGTTTGCAAATACGGGAATATCACAACGAGTATTATGCGGGGTGGGTCTCGTGCGAGGATCCGGCGTGTGGCGGCCGAACGGCGCGTCTGCCTCAGACATTCGCGGCCGGATATCCGGTGTGCCGGCATTGTGAAAAGGGACTGATGTTCAGAGAATATACGGAGAAAGACCTGTATTTGCAACTTAACTTCTTTCTGTATCTCTTCGATTTGAACAAACATGCCAATGCAAGTGAGTATATTTTATTTGGTTATTTAACTAAAACTAGCCTTACCGCTAATAACTCTTTCTAGGCAATCCAATTATTCTTGAATGTTATGCCGTAATTAATTTGGTTATTAATATTTCTATTTGTAAAATAATGACTTCTTATTTATATAATGATTTAATATTTAGCAAATCGTTCTATGACTAAGCGTCAATCGCTGTAGAGCTACTACGAAAACCATTTATATTTTTATAATTATTATTGTTTTAGTGTTCAAATCATACTCATGTGTAGATCCTACTCATTTTGTTATATGTAATAGAAGAGTAGTGTTTTAAATATTTTTTGATTTTCCAGTAAATAATATTTTATCTTTTCAGAAACGAAAGTATCAACTCAAGTTGCCAGCGCATTTTTGGTTTTAAAAGAAATGGTTGAAAACTGGCTTTCACATTCAGCTTATTCAATAATATCTCTAACAAAATTGTTCAGATTCTTCAATGTGGATACAAAAGCCAAAATTAAATCGGAACCTGTAGAAATTGATATAACCCCAGAAACAGAACACATTGATGCCTTGATGGAAATGGGCGTCTATTAAATTAGTTATTAATTGTTGTATTATGAAATCTGTATATAGCCTAATAAATTTTATACCTACATGATTGTATTTTTATACCCAACACTTACAATACGTATGCAATTATAATCAAGAAAATAAATACTGTTTTATTAAATTAAATCCAACAAAAAATTCATTTATGAATAAACTGAAACCAATTTGAATATTGGATTCAGTTACATTCAATATGTTCAAAAAAAAATATATATTGTTTTTAATCTTCTGAAAAAGCCTGCAGATATTCCAAACCTCTGAAAAATTCTAGAAATAAATACATACATTACAATCCTTGAGTAATATTAAATAGCTCAGCCCCAGTAAATTCACTCATAAAACACATGAAAACTTTAAATAGTACCTATTGTTGTCATTCCCAAATTATTAATTGTTCTTGGCTGATGGCTCATATGTTTTAATATTGCTAATTGTTAACAATGATTGAAGTTAATATCTTTTATCAGAATGCTCAAAGACAGCAGAAAAGGAATATTCAATAGAGAAGACATGGCAATGGCAGCCAATTGGAAGATTAAGATGCACTTACAACATAACCTGATTGGAAACACAATAATTAATTTAATATAAGTGATTGATATTAACTTATATATAAGGATATCGAGATTTCTTCCAGGCAACCTTAGTTATCCTTAGAAATCTCGCTTATTAGCGATAAGGCCGCCTGATGCGATATGAAAGTTTTTTTTAATGTTATATTTTACAAATCATTTTTGTGTTGTGCAATAAACTGGAAATTTTTAAAAATAAACCTGTGCTATTAAGCTCGCTCCACAATTATTGTGACGTGGATGCCTTACCTACCCCGCCTCACGGTGTTATACAATGTTTGATTTAGCTTTCTGCATGGTCCTGCATTATTGTTTGCTGTGATCTTATATCTCTGACGCTTTAGAAACCCAAAACTTCAAACGTTGCGTTGCGTTGACAATATCAATATGATTAGACCTTTTTATGTCAATAATTTTCCGGAACCCAAAATCATATTATTTACTAACTGGCATCTAATTAGTTCTCTAAGAGCGAGGCCCCACTACAGCGTTGCGTCTTTGCCGCTGCGAGGTTTCCTATATTATTTTTTATACATGCCCCAATACACCGTTGTCCGTTGCGTCGTCGCGCGCGACATTTAAACGGATCGTCGGACAAGAGACGAAGCAAGGGGGAGGATAATCACTATTTCTTAATGCTATCAGAGGAGATATCCAAAATCTTCTATGGTTTCTAAGTTTAATTCGGCGGTGGTGTAATAAAATCAACAAAAGAACACGTTTGTCGTCTATCCATTGCAAAGGCTGAGACGCAGATGCGACGGCGTCTATACCCTCTTGCGTCGACGCAACGCAGACGTGGCATACAATGCGTCGATCCGATGCGTCGACGCGACGCAACGCAGTAGTGGGGCCTCGCCCTTAGTGTTAAGCGTTACCAAATTCTATTTTGTGCCACGCGTTAATCACACGACGTCCCTCTTCAACTATATGACTGCTAATTCACCGTTTATCCAGGGTAGTTAATGTAAATTTGGAACCCTCTTCGTACGTAAGACTGCCATACCGTATTCAGAGTTCAGTTAGAATATTTTTATTTTTGTAGAAGAGTAACTCCAATTTATCCAGACCAGAGGAACTGGATATTTCAGATTACATATGACTAAAGGCGGAAATACACTTACGTGTCGTGGCGTGTCGTGACGGTGAGTGTGCACACACGTGTCGTGTCGTGGCGTCCTCTGGCGTTGTTTCTGAACAGTACTTAACGAACCTTTGCAGCGTTCAAACATACATAATGTTTTCGTCTGATTCGAATAGTGATTTTGAATAAGACCTTCAAATTCTCTTAGCAATGAAACTTCTTAAGAGCAAAAAAAAGAAAAGATACTGGGTTCACCCTATAAACAGAGGGAGACAAGACAAAAGTGAATTTCATCGTCTTGTTAAAAAATTAGAGAGTGACGAAGAGAAATTTCATCATTTAATTTCATATCTGGTAGATGTTCGCGCCATGAGCCACGCGCCGGTGTAGAAACACATTTGCCTGTTGTGTCGTGTCGCGTCATAACCCCCACCACCGCTCTGGCGCAATCGGTGGTGACTGGCGAGCAGTCGGCGCCACGACAGAACGTGTTGCGACACGACACGACATGCAAATATGTTTCTAATCATATTAAATGTATGAAACCAATATGCTTCTGGCGCGTCACGACACGCCACGACACGTAAGTGTGTTTCCGCCTTACTTCGTGTTTGTCGACTACATAAATTGAGAAAGAAATTGCCATGTTGCATGTCATTTTAGCATCCTGAACTAGTTCATGTCCGACTTTTTAGTTTTTATGAGAATAGGTTTGGCCAAGGGTTACAAAACCTGACAAGTACCTATATGATGGTTCCTACATGTTAAAAGTTATTTTTTTCAATTCAAAATCAATGAAACTTCTATGCTCATAATTAAGTTTGGGAAATAAAGGCTATTATTATTATTGAGGGTTACAAAATAATTGACCTCGTGGAGTGAGTCACTTGGATTGTTTTGTTTTTCTTCGTTTCTCTGGTTTTTTAATGCTTGCTTTATTATTTTCAAATTGCTTAACTTTTATTCAAGATTTTTAAAATAGTGTATTTTGATTAATTATAAAAGATAAGTTCATTTATTGCGATAATTTTTGTAGAGATCTAAATCTATAGAATTATCTAAATATTTTTTTTGTGAGTTTGAATTTATATCTTGCATTAAAGGACTTGACTTAGGGTGCTTACATAAAGAAACAGGTTTCCGGTACAGACAAATCCTTACGGGTCGGTACCGATCGGTACAGTGTTGACTCGCATAAAGAAACAGGTGAATCTGTCCTTAGTGACAATCATGGCCTCCAGTTCGTCGGACGAAGATTTTTTACTTTTAGAAAGTACTTACGTCAAATATAGAAAGAGAAGAACAGTTAGTGTATCTGATATTAACAGAAAAAGAACTAAATATGGAACATATTATCATTTATTCTTAAAAGATATAAAGGACGATGAAAAGGAGTTTTATGATTATACAAGGATGACTCAAGAAACATTTTACTACATATTAAATTTAATCGAACATCGCTTAATTAAGAAATGGTGTAACTGGCATGTTCAACCAATTTCACCTGAAGAAAGACTCGTTATCACTATTAGGTAAGTAATGAATAATATTTATTAGTATAAAAATATGCGTAATATAGGTACTGGGTGGTATAATTTCAAAATGAAATGTCTTCTATACCGCTTATAATCGGGGTGTCCACAGCCAATGTTCAAAAAAATTCCTTGACCTTTATTCATTCAGTAGGCTAGTATGTTTTATTTGTAAGTAGTTTTAATCACAATGAAAAATATATTCTTCTGTGGCTAATTGGTTGCTTATAACAGCAATATTGTCACTCGAAGTTTGTGGAAGAGTTATTTCGTTGCAGGTCTCTGGAGTACTATTACGGGAAACATTACTTAAATGAGAGTAGTTTGACATCGAACTAGGGTTACCATATTGCAAAGATTGGTACGCGAACTCGTCGACGACGCTTTGAATGCGGTTTCTAAAAGAAAGTAGCATGTGCTGTGGAATTTTTTCAATGTGTGGTATGAGGCTTTTAAAAAATAAAATATGTTCGTTGTCTGCATCTGTTGTTCTATTCTGTCGGGATTTTTCCTTATCTTGTAAAAATTTAAGTTTTTGATTCTCAATGTCCAATAATTTGTCATTGATTGTTCTCTTCGGCCTTTTCAAAGCGATTTTTGAAACAGGCATCGCAGGAGACACTGTTGGTTGGTCACTCGCATCAGTATCTTCCATGTTGCTTGGTCCAGGTGAAAGAGAACAATCATGGTCATTTGTAGTTTGGGTGTATTCTGTTTCACTATCAAGGCTCACAGCACTATTTGAATGAGATCTTTGTCGCGTCAAACTTCCAGTGGTTAGCCGCGCCTTCACCATAGGTTTGAGAAAAAGTAAGGGTTTAAAATATGGCCATTTGGGATATACTGTAGTTGCCTCATCTCCAGAGCGAGAAGGTGAAATTTTTCCTAACTCTACCGCAAATTGATCCCTTAGATATCTCCATCTTTTTCTTATTTTACTTTCTGAAACAAAAAAGTACTGATATGTAAAAACTTTTTCCTACAGAGGTCAAATACAATTTTATTGTTGTAAATATCAAGGTAAATAAATTTAAAAATACTTATTTCTTTCCAGTTCAATCAATTTAAAAATATTTTTTTATTTAAATCCCAATTATCAGGTTGGGTCTTATACATATAGAACCCTGGCAAGAAATAAGTATTTTTAAATTAATTTAACCCGATGTTTACAACAACAAAATTATATTTGACCTCTGACTGTCTCATAAAATAATGAGCAGAATCATCCCTCCCACGATTTAGCGTTAATTTTTGCTTTTTTTACATCCTGTATTCAGGGTGTAATAGTTAAATGTGTTTTTATTTTCAGATATCTTGCAACTGGAGAATCATTCAAATCGCTTTCAAAAAATTTTCGTATAGGAGTAACAACATTAACAAAAATTATAGAAGAGACGGTTCTAGCAATATGGGAGGAACTGTATACCATACATATGCCTACACCCACCAGAGATATATTTTATTCAATATCTAATGATTTCAATAATATTTGGAATTTCCCTCACGTCATAGGTTGTATAGACGGTAAACATGTGCGCGTAATGTGCCCAAAAAAATCTGGATCTATGTTTTACAACTATAAAAAATATTTTTCTGTGGTACTGCAAGCAGTAGCCGATGCCAATTATAAATTTGTAATGGTAGAAGTCGGGGGCTATGGTAAACAGAGTGATGGCGGTACCTTTAGAGCATCAGATTTGTATCAGTTTCTAAATGAAAGAGAATTAGATATTCCATCGCCCGCTTATTTGCCTAATACCCAAGTCTCTGTTCCTTACGTATTTTTAGCTGATGAAGCGTATCCTTTAAAAACATATTTAATGAAACCCTTTGGGGGACGTGATTTAACAGTGGACCAACAAAATTTTAATAGTCGCTTGTCCCGAGCGAGAAAAACAGTGGAATGTGCATTTGGTAGATTATACTCAAAGTGGCGTTTGTTATCTAAAAGCATCGAAACGGATATTCAACTAGCTGATAAGATCGTAAAAACTATGTGTTTGTTGCACAATATAATTATTGATAAAGAGGGTTTTGAGCGAAACTTGACTTCGGTAAATATTGTTAGACGAAGATGGCACAATCAAAGTCCGCCTAGTAATGTTGCTACAAACGTCAGAAATAATTTTGTGCAATATTTCAAACATAATCACTTATTATATAATTAAATTGGGTAATACTTTATTATTAATATTTTATAACTACAAAATTAAAATAAATCGAACTGATCATTGAAAGTACTCACCATCCTGTTTCATTTCCAAACTGATCTCTTTCCAACACTTATCTGTAACATTTCTGTTGCTGTGGAACTTATGAGTTTTGTCCCATAAACATTGTTTATCAAACACTAAGGCTATCAAAACTTCGTTATCAAATCCATTTTTAATATTATTAAACACACCCTACACCAGTAAATGCTTAAACCCGTATGGCACGGTCCAGGTAGTCGGCACCGACAAGTTACAACCTGTTTCTTTATAAGTGAGTGAATAGGATTATATTGAAATATTATACCTGCGCTGATCGGTACCGACCCGTACAGATTTGTCTGTACCGGAAACCTGTTTCTTTATGTAAGCACCCTTATCCAGGATCTATTAAGGGTTTGCATGGAAAATTATGAGAAGGAATCTTAGTTACCATTCGGCAAGTCTCCATAATGGCTGGAATAGCATCTATCAGAAGTGTAGCCAGTGTAGTATAAAGAAAAGTGAAACCTTAGTCTTGTGCCTAACCCGGCCGCTGTTACATTTTTCATAGCAATAATAAATACAAACATTGTAGCTACTGCCTAAGTGCCTAGTGCTAAGGTACTATGTCATAATTTATATCATTATAAATTAATAAACGAATGTTGACTTGTGACAATGCGATTTTTTTTATTTCCTTTTTAGACTTCGCTACTATAGTTTAAGATTTTCTGTATTTTCACTTATTATAATGCTTTTGGGTTTGAATGTCTACGGGCGACCGAAATACATTAAATTAGGTAACAGTAGGCATAAAAATTAAAAAAAACGGCGTGTTCATGACATAGTCAACTGGAGACGAAAGCTTCCAATTATTATAGGTAATAGACATAAATAAAATGACCTTGCTAAAACTTACTACATAATTTATTATTAAAACCATAATACACAAATCAAATATTTAATAATAACCCCTCCCGCGACCTCTGCTGCCTCTGCCTCGACCTTTGAAGTTATTTTGCTCAAAATTTCCAAATTGAGGCCGATTGCCATGTTGCGGACCTCGCGGCCTAAAATTATGATTGTGCTGTTTCCCACCGTTCGTGAAGTGTCGAGGCCCCTGATGATTGAAATTCCCACGAGGTTCATAATTATTCTGACCGTATTGCACGTTATTCGGTTCCAGGTTAAAGTTGTTTTGGTTGCCTAAAGGCACATTGAAATTCTGAGATTGGTTGTACACGTTTGGAGTTTGATATGGGTTCTGCTGATTTCCACTATTGTAGGGATCCCTAAAGTTGCACTCCGAGTTGAACGAGGGTGTGCCGAACGAAGATATCTGGTTGGGGAAGTCGGGCTGCGAATTCCTCTGTTCGACATTTTCTTGGAGGTCTCCGAATGATCTCGGTTGGAATGAAGTTGTGGGAGTGACATCCGCTACTTGTGCAGGGGCAGTCGAACTGGATTTGATGGAGGCTTGCACTAGAGCGAGAAGATCTGAGGCAGAAGAAATATTCTTAGCGAAGTCGAAAAGGGGAGGGGCTGCCTTTGGACTCTCTGCTTTCGGTGGAGTCTTGTTTTCTAGCGATTTCTTGACTATCTCCATCTCTTGTCGCATCTGATCTTCTTTGACTTTTTGTGTTGCCGAATGGAATAACTAGAAAAAGCAAGAATATTAAATTAAAGAAAAGTAAGCAAAGCCATACAAAAAGAGAAGAATTTGACATCTCACCTCATCAACGGTGTAATCATCGTCATCGCTATCGATGGCGACAGGCTTGACGTCAACTTTCTCTGGTTGTTTCATCGGCACAGACTCCGAAACAGCCGCTGCCTCCGCATCTGCGCTGACGTATTGTCTCAAACGCTCAACTCTTGCAGGTTCTCGCGCTTCTAGCTTCTTCAAATACGCTATTAAGCTGTGCTGTTCTTCAGCTGAGAGTTCGTTAAAGTTCTTGAGTAGAGTCTCAAGGTCCGAGTCGGAGAGGCCGTCCATTGCATCCGGGAGGTCGTTAGCGGATGCCCTATTCAAATATTAATAATAGTAATGAATTCGTCATTTGTTAAATTTACCGCTAAAGTTAAATATTTAATTTCACCTCTAAAAGTTACGCCCAAAACGTAACACAATACGTGCAAATATTACTAACGCGGACTTTAATCGTTTTTTTTTTTGTAATGGCTCTGGCACGATTTGTGCATTAGCCAGCGTCGGTACCGCACAACCCTCCCAAAGGCCGAGAACAAATTTAAATTAAATTTAAACTTGCCCTCGAACCGGGATTCGAACCCGGTACCCCTCACCTAGCTGCCACTTAATAAGACTGCTAGGCTATGAGGCCCCCTTTAATCGTTTATTAATAAAATATAGTGAGTCATATTTTGTCCGATTTTGCCGCACTGGCTTTTTGGGTTTGTACTTTCATACCGAGAAAGAGAAGAATTTTGAAACCGAGAGATTGGGCGAAAATTTCGAACTAAACGTTAAATATAAAAATGTGAATTAAATTTTTCTTGTTGCAAATACTTTGTGTGTGAATAGCGAACCGTGCTAGCATCGTGTGCATGTGTGTCTACGTGTATTGTGTTCACACACATTCTACTTTGTGTAATCGCCCGTCGACATTTGGATGCAAATGAAAAAAATTGTGTTGTGAGACAGAAATTTGTTTCCAAAGTTATTTGTATTTATCTTAATAATTGGATTATCCTATTTTATTTTTAAAAATAGATTGCACGGCACGTAACATGGTCAGCTTCGTCCTTACGAAGTATCCTTATACTTAAAACGGCTTCTGCCTATATTATGACTGGCCAACATATTTGCTTGGAACAAAAATACTTAAATTTAATTTATATCTGTATATTTATTTATATCTAGTTCTGTTTGATAGTAAAATTGCTTTGAGCATTTATGACACGCATTTCTCGCAATACGAAAACGCAATATTAATACAAATACTACATAAATTCTCTAGACGAAATTTTAATTTTAAAAATATAATTATAGGTAATTCGTCCTTCTCACTCTCTCTCTCAATCGGTCTCAATCGCTTTCTCACTTTTCTTCGACAAAAACGCTGCACATCTTCGTGACGTATCCGTAAAAATTTTACCCACATGCGCAAGAAGTTTCACTTCAATAAGTTTATTAATTTTTATAAAAAATAAGTTCTTATAAGCGTGGATTAATTTTATAATTCATACAATATCATAGTTAAAGAAGTATTTTTTATTATTTTGCAAACTTTCCTCAAATGTCCTTTATTTGTCAAAGACGAATAAATTAGAGTTATAAATAATTAATCCTTACTTATTATCATCATAAGCAGATTGAAGCATTTGTAAGGCAGAAGCGGCGGCAGAGTCGCTCCCTTCCATTCTCTTGTGTTCAATGGTTTTCACGTGCTCCTTGAGTTTTGCCTCCCTTTTCTTCGCCTCGGCCATACCGACCTAAACATAGATCATATAGGCTTTTGCAATAAGTAATGTAAATAATTATCCATTAATAATTTCAACCAGAAGGCGTAGAATACTAATAATTATTATAGCAAGACTGACTTTTCGATTTTTAGACTAAAGATACCTATCTAATACCTTCATATAATTCGTATCTAATTGTACACGGAATTTAAATTTATAAATAAAAGATTAATACGCAATGTAGATATGTAAAACTAGGTCAAAGTCTAACCTTTTTTACATTTATTTAATTTGTTTATTTTTATTTGCAAAACCATTGGAATATAAGACTTTGACCTGTAGGGTCATAAGGTTGATTAAGCAATTTCATAGAATTTTTCAATATTTTGTGTTTAAAATACGTCATTATATAATCGTTTTAGCCTTAATTGCCAAATTAAGAGATTTTATTTAATCACACTATATTGCACATAACTATAATATTAAATTGAAACTTATGCTTTTCTTTAATATTATTAATTATTTTTTATTTTTTCGATGTTATTATTAATTAGTATATTTTACCTAAAAAATATGTAAAATCAAGACTTACCACAGCATCAACGAGTTGAGCTAACTCTTCCGAAGAGACATCAGTCTTCCCTTGAGCAATGAGTGCGGCGGCCATCTGTTGGGCGATCTCTTCCCGGTCCACTTCCCCCACACCCGCTACTGGCACAATACTTGCTTTGCTACTCGTTGGTTTATTGCGTTCTTGCTATAAATGATGAGAAGGGCGATACAGATACACTGGCGCTGACGATATAGTGAATGAGCAGTGTTGTGTATTTTTTCCTCACGATATTTGCCTTCACTGTTAGCATGTGTTAAATCGCATATAGAAAGGTCGTTCCATTGGTGTAACGATGTGATTCCATTAGGTGTAACGATTATATTATTAATTATCACTGACTATTTTTTACATATTAATTAAAATTAAAATAATATTATCATTACAATACCACAGGCACAAAAACAGATTGAACAGTCGAGGCGTAAATAAATTTAAATTAATTATTTTTATATGTACTGAATTATGTATTATAATTATTTAATTTCTTGCTCGTATTCGTATCAAAAATAAGTTCTGAATTAGCACCGGTACAACAAAAACAAGAAGCTCTTTACAGCAACAGGTAAAGCTTAGTTGGGAGCAACTTTCGTATATATCATGTAAACAGTATTAGAAAATAATTCAAGACAATTTATATTAAATAAGTGATTTACCTTTTGCCTAGCCCGGGTTCGTTTATCAGCAGCATGAAGAGTAGCAGCCGCTCGAACAACGGCCGCCCTGACTGCGGAGGTCGCAGCAGCTGGGACCAGCCCAGCCTGCAAACCTCCCTTCAGTTTCTCCTTCGCCGTCTCTATTAGGACCACTGCGGTCTCTCGGTCTAAGAGCTCTTCGGATGAATTCGCTTTTTCCTGGAAATTAAAAACTTTCGTCATCTAGATGAAGGCATTTAAATAAAACTCTTAACGGATATAACCGTGGTTAATTCAAGACTTTATTTAACTGTGTATTTAACCAAACTTCAAATCATACATCGATCACATAGTTATCATTAAACTAGCGCCCCGTCCCGGCTTCGCACAGCAGGATTTTTTTTTTATATTTAGTAGATTTTGATATGTTCTTTAATATTGTGGAACATGTTTTGTTCTATTATCAAAAGTGCTCGCAGCGCATGCGATGAAAGATATTTTATAGGCATTTTTTACACCTTGGGTAACATTATTGTAGTTATAGTAGGGATATTTGTTTCTTGCAATCAGCCTATATTAATCAGTGATAGTGTAGCATTCAAATGGTGAAAGATTTTTGAAAATCGGTCCAGTACTTTTTGAGCCAATTCGTTACAAACATACTTACAATAACAAATTTTGCCAATAACGGGAGACCACACCGAAATTGGGTTACAATTTTACAGGTGAACAATAAAAATAGCCCAAGCTTAGACATTGTCTCTTTGTATTTAAGTATACCTATTTTTCTGTCCTGGAAAATTCTACGCAACAAATACTCAAAGGAAATTTTATATTTCAATAAAATCGATATTTATTATCAAAGACAACTCCTGTTCCAAAATAAGAAGATATAATTTAACATCACCAATCTTTCAAACATAAAATAATCAACAAACAAAAATGTAAATTTATCTTAAACAAAACGGGTACCCATTTACTGAAGCAATAAAAACAAAAATGTTAGCCGAATTCATTTGATGTTCATTACCTTCTCCATGCGTATGGCTTCAGCTAATAAGTCCACGACTTTAGGCCCCATACTCCCAAGATGGTCCTCCAACGCCACCAGCATACGCAACGTCGCCACTATATTATCTGCTGAATCCGTCAAACTCTGAAATGTGAAAACAAAGTTATGCTTGTGATCGAAGGAGAAATTAAGATTATTTTTGTTATATTTCAGTGACTAAAAAAAACCTCATTCCGTTTAATAAGGCAGAGCAGTGTTGAGTGGAGCGTACTAATCTATCCAGAGGTCGTGCGTTCGAATCGCCGTGCACAAAGGAATTTGTCCTCTATGCACAATTATTAACACACGCTCGTACGGCGAAGGAAAACATCTTCAAGAAAAAGGAATGATTTGACCTAAAAATCGATGGCGTGTGTAGGCAGAAATGCCTATTTTGAAAAAAAAATACGAAATATAAATTAGATTTTTTTACTTCCAAATGAAGTAACACTAAAAAGAAAATTTGTTTATAAATGTTTTTATGTTTCTCTAATAGTATGCTTTTTATGTTCCATTTTTGGTATTTATGCATATTTAATGTTCAAATATTCCTGCTTTTACAAACAATATTATTTAGTTTTCATGTTGGCAGTTCTATATCCAACTCGAAACAACTGTAGTTCATCATCATCATCATCCTAAACTTTATTGTTACTATTTATTTATATTACCTTGTAGTCTTGGCTAGTATGCCGTGCGTGTGATATGCGTGATGATAGACTATCGCCTCTAGACCGGGAAGGCGGCGAACGCATATCTGGTAATGACCCGAGCGAATCACCAGAATCCCATGGAGAGGTTCCACTGGAATATCAGGAAAAAATAATGTACCCAAACGTAACTTCCTCTCCAAGGGCGAACCATAGTGTAAATACTTTGATGTGACCATACTTGTGCCACTGTCTATGTGTGTTATGTCACTTATTCACATTTTTACTGAATCGACGTATATTAAATAGTTACAATATATCCCTTGCCCCTTTAATAATACATTTTTGGCCAAAATACATATTGTATGTTGTACGGATGCAAAAAAAATAAGATTTTTTAAAAAGTCAATGCTATTAGAAAAATCAAATTATTTTAGATTAATTATAATTTATAAAAATTGTTGTCCATATAAGTTAAAAAAAATTCAATAATTTCATGCCAACTAAAAAAAGGATTCAAAGTCGAATTAGTTTCAAAATCCAACGTACGCGTTACGTATACGTTGGCCATTACATCATTATTTTACGACACCGTCATCAATAAATAATGATATTCGCTATCAAAAAGTTTATTTTTATAATACCCCTGAAGCTCATCATCCGAGATTAGTACGGTCTGCATAGAAGGTTCCACATTCGTTGGAGTGGGACTTGGGTTCCGTGCTGCGGAGGACGCGGTGGTGAGGTCACCTCTTTGGGACAAAGGACTTCCTCTGCTATGCCAAGTACTGCGGCTGGGGCTTCGCGACCTTTTATGTAAAGACCTGTATTGTGAGTTGATTTCATATAACAATTACACAGTAAATATGTATATCAACTTAAAAATACATGCAATGATCTCCTGGCGATAAATGGCTTGAGGTAAAGAAAAAATACTAATTATTGGTCTGGAAATGTAATCACCCCATCCCATCGACAAGCAAACAATATAGGATAATATATAATCGAGGATCGTCATGCTCGCTTAAATGTCATTGCTTGTGGCGGCGTCCATACGTCGGGATGTCTCTGTCCCTAAAATATGGCAAGGGGGCCGATGGCTGGCCATGCGTCATACTCGTAAACGGGTGCTGCTTGTGGTGACTGGTCGTACTTAAATTCGTGTATGCGGTGATGTTGGTTATTTCGACTATGTGTTTGCGTCTTGTTCCCACGAGAATTTAAGTGCGTGCTCCTATTTCACCATGCCTTCTGCTGATAGAGGACAAATCTTTGTTTTTAATTTATGTTATTATTATTAATTACTTAAAATGTCACATAGGACATGGTGTAATGGTTGCAGCTCCTTACAAACATTTTGTAAAACAAAAAAATGGCGATTAAAAAGAGTGGCAAAGAGTTTATTACCAGTTCTTCTCTCCCGTTCTACGCCCTTGATTTGAGAACTGGCACTAAATGTAAAATTATAAGCATTCATATGTATTTCTTTACTGACGAGTCATAAGTGTACATTATGTTACCTACATGATTAAATGTTTTTTTTACTTTTACTTTTTATACATAAATCAGCTGCAAAGCTCAACATAGTTAGATACATAAACAATTTTTGATTATACATAATTTATTTTAAATAAATTAGTATCTTTATTATACTCATTACATTTAGTAGCGTAGCGTTCCTTTTATTTATATTTTTTTAATATGGTGAAATTTTACAAGACTGTCTAGAAAAAAAAGGATATGGCAATCAACTACCTAATAATATGTTCAATACGAGTTATGTTATAGTTACCTAGATATATTGACCTTACCATCAGATATTAGTACCTTTTGATCGGGCTCCTAGAGCGCGTGCGCAGTAATCTCAAAGGCGAACGACGAGGTGGCGGTGACACTGAGCGCTCGTTAGCTCTGCAATTAAAGTCAAGTCAAAATATAGATCCTTGTACACTAATAAACATCGAAAACGAAAGAAACGAAAACGTCGCGAATTTTTTATTCCCCAATTATTTTGTTTTACTAGAGAGATTAGATTCCACATGTGTGGTGATGCTAAAACTTTCCTTAAGAAACGTGTTGTGGAACAACGAACGTTGAGGTGTTACGGGTGGAATTTCGTATTCTGCCTCGACGTTCAAAGATAATCCTCAGCTGCATGTGTTTACAATATTAAAACACGCCCTTACAATATTAATTATATTTTATAATGACAACAGATTATGTTTACCACTAACAATGTTGAAAACTTCGCTTCTCGTTCAAATATTTTTATTTTTGAAGTGAAATTTCTATAGACGCATGAGGTTAAAATTTTTACGGAACGTCACGAAGATGTGCAGCGTTTTTGTCGATTTTTATTTCTTTAATAAAGATGTGCTAGTATAATATTGTAGTGCACTTATTCATACTTGAACACCGATGGTGTTTTTATACATATCAATATCATTTTGTTAAGTAACTTTTGCTGTTGGTTTTGTATTTTTATAAGGGCACAGAACCAGGACCTTTTTTGCTAAGACCCAACTGGCTATTTTAGAAAATGTGGACATAACTTAGCTATTAGGTGGTATTTCTATATACATAACAACAACTAATTTTAGTTCTGGTTTTAAATTAGCCTTAGTTTCATTCAGCCAGTTGCCAGTCTTTCTTAATATAGAAAGACTGGCAACATTAAATTATGGGATTTGGGCAGCTTAATTACTCAATATACAAAGAAGTTTCACTTCTGACATGTGTGCTTTGTACGCACGCACTTTTTTTTATAGAGAAGACTAAAATATATACACATATATATGAACGATTTTAAAACAAATGGTGACTTTCACCAGTATAATACTCGGAATAGAACTAATCTAATCAACCAGGCTCCAGAAGATAAACCACTCCTTGTATGGAAATTGTATTCGTTTTTACAACAAACTCCCAAGCGAAATAAGAGAATTATCACTGAATAAATTCAAAACTCTCGTTAAACGTAAATTAATCAATAAAGATTTTTATAAACTTGACGAATATTTAAATGATCCTAATCCTTGAGATTGATTTTCTCCAGTTCAAACAATTTGTAAGACTCAAAACTTGGCGATTAAAAAGAGTCGCGGAGAGTTTTTAGCCAGTTCTTCTCGCCCGCTCTACGCCCTTGACTTGCGAACCGGTAGTGAATGTAAATATAGAATCAATTTAATATATTTTCTGTTGACGTTCATAAGTATACTGCGTTACCTATATGAATAAAGTTAAGAGTTATAGTCATATATGCATACCTCAGCTCAGAAACAGCAACAATGGGTCGGCGATCAATCTTGTACTTAGTGTCCTTAAATGGTCGTCTTTCCATAAAGCGTCTTAAACGATCGGGTGACCTTCTACGTTCTTGTGAACGTCTCCTGTCAGGCGACCTTCGTCTCTCGGATGACCTTCGCGTGTCGGGTGACCTTCTCCTTTCGAGTGACCTTTTCCTGTCAAGAGATATTCTACGCTCGGGCGAATGTTGGCGAACTATTTTCTTAAACTCGGGTGAGCTCCTTCTGTTCTGCGGTGAGAGGGAACGTTTCTTTTCCACTGAGCGACGTCTGCGATCCTAGAATTTTTAAGTAATTAATATTTTATTTCCTCTAAAGTAAACAAGGGTGACCAGCAAATGTTAAGTAATATCGTTAAAGTCTCAGAAATATTTTTTTTTCCGATAGTGTTTTTTTTTACATTTACTGATAAGGAGACGCGTCATGTTAATCCTATATACAATTAAGCTCTGAAATGTTTGCGTTTAGCCACTCTTCCGAACAAACAATGGCCAATTTGTAAGCTGAAACTTCAAGCAAAAAAGAGATTTTTGACACGTGTGTAAGGAAACATATATATTATATTATATCTTTCGTAATACTTAAAATTTACTATTTACTTTTTTTACTTTAGATACATAATTAAATTAGATAACCAAACCGTAACGTTGTGATATTAGCACAGCACATTTGAAGTCAAGACAATATTTCAGATAAGGTAATAAGTTATTTCAGACTAAAAAACTCACCTCCGACTTAGACGGAATGTTATTAGGTATGGCAAGGCTGAATTTCCGATAGATCTCATGAACGGCCACGCGCAGTTCTTGGTCATGGAGCTCCTTCATACGCACCGTCCAGAATTTTATCCATTCGGGCTTGAAATCGTGCTTCGATGTGTCTTTTCCCTCTATTAGGCAATATTAAGGTTTTAGTATAACCAATATGTATTACATAAGGATTTTCAAATAAAACAAATGCTAAGTGTCTTAGGGAGCGTTCAAGTTTACGTAACGAGTTTTTTTTTTTTTTGGGGGATACGATGCGGGGCGGAAATTGATTTACGCGTTATTGTTAATATTAGTTTCGACTTTGCAGTACTTTACACCACATAATGGTAACTTTTAGGTATAAATAGTCACTGGTGGGGTCACGAAACGTTTTACAATTGGGTACAGAAAAACGTTACGGCGCGTTTTATGGGGGGGGTGTCAATAATCTCCAAAAATTGCGTGACGTAATACTTGAACGCTCCCTTAAGCCTTAAATATGTATTCACATCTAAATAAAATAATCTTCGTGTATTTCATTTGCTATTCTCTATAGAGCTATTTCAGTTTATTCTTTAACTAAACAATCGAGAATCTTTGCATCTTTAGAAATTAAAATGTACTCGAGTATTATAAAATAAAATCTGAAAGGAAATCTTCAAGAAAAAGGCATCTTCGGAGGATAACTAAACGTACGGAAAATCTATCGTAAAGTGCTGAGTCCCGTTGTTATAATTGATTTTTATAAGAAATTTGTGTACGAATAAAAAATCAACTTACCAGCCTGCAGTTCCTTGTACCGTCTATTCCAGAATTTCTTCCACTCCTCAGGGTATAGGGGATGCTTTTCTGGATTCTTCTCGTGATAGGCAAGCATTCTCTTCGCTGTCGTTTCTGCTTCCAGGCTCAATTCCTTTGCGCGTTTTACCTTGAACTCCAAATTGCCTGGTCGTTGTCTCTATTAAAAAAAAGCAGTTCTTGTTATACAATAACCCGAAAGCAATGTTTAATATAATATTAATTATCAATAATTTTTTTTACTTATTTATTTGTTTTACATAATAATATTATAAAAAACTTGTATGTTACATTATAAACCACTGCGGTTTTGTATTAATGTAATAGTATAGTGTGTATGTAGTAGTTTTTTAATTTACTTTTTATGTTGGTTAACGTTATTTACGTTAGGCTATCTAATAACCGATTGGTTAGTCCATTTATTATAAAAATCCGGCTCAGATATTCTTAGACAACCCATCCGGATTATACATTTATTTAAAAAAATAAACAGGGGTGGTGGACGCTTCCCCATTGGATCATAGACCATGAAAGAGAAAATCTTTGGACGAGAGTTATATTAATTAATATTTAGAAGCGCAAATCAAATGTTAACAATCATCTTACACTTGTAGCTAATAAATTGTAATACGTCAGTTAAGTAATAAAGTAGCCCTTTAGTTTTTCATTGATTCATAAATTGTCAAAGTCAAAAAGAAGTGTCACTTAGTTTTAAGAACCCATAAATCAATTAGTCACATAAGGCATAGACATACATGACATATTCCTAATTTTATGTAAGCTATTGTTTTAAACGATTAATGTAAATTGACACCTAGCAGACATTGTTTCATCTAATATATAAAATTCTCGTATCGCGGTGTTTGTAGTTAAACTCCTCCGAAACGGCTCGACCGCTTCTCATGAAATTTTGTGTGCATATTGGGTATGTCTGAGAATCGGACAACATCTATTTTTCATCCCCCTAAACGTTAAGGGTAGTCAGTCCACCCCTAAATTATTATTTTTTAATTTTTAGATAATTTTATTTGTTTTTATTTTTTTATGATACAGCATTAAAAATGCATACAACCCCTAACTTTCACCCCTCTACGACCAACCCCTATTTTTTATTATAAATGATATACATGGCAAAACGACGTTTGCCGGATCAGCTAGTTTATTTATACATCCCTCCAACAGCCGCCACCGAACTTAACTCGAGGAAAGTGCTCGTGTTTATATACGTGGAATATAATATATTTTTTAGGTAGAATTCAAAATTTTATTGTATCGCAGAATTAATAGCCTTATTGACAATGATTTAAACCTCTCTTCACTTTTTCTCTTTCTTTCTATATAAACTATCTGATGAAAAACTCACCCTCTCCTTTGTCAAAACATGCGAGTTTGTGTCGAGATGCTTTTTGGTATAATACTGCTCCGGGGGCGCTTGTTGTACATTCCTGTAAAATTACATTATTCCTGTACAGTATATAATATAGGACTGTTTATAATATAGTATACATAATATCTAATATGTTATGTGTAACGGTTACATAAATGTCAGGTAATGCCAGGATTATCAGGAAATGCTATGATCGAGTCAATTGACCCTTAATTTTGAATGTTGCGTTGATTAATCATTGAGATTTCTTCTATTACTTTTAAGAATTATTGTTTATTTTGATTCGAATTATTATTTAATTGTGTCATAGTTTGGAACCATTATAACGAATAGAAATATTGTTACGACCAATCAAAGAAGAGCAAATGCCTCGAGTGGGGTCGATGGGCCATATTAACTTTTAATAGTGCGTACAGGGAACGCAGGGCAGTACGGATTGAGTATTCAGTGGAGCATGGTCGTGTTGTGACGTTAGACCGAGTGGGGTCTAGTAGATTGTGATTTAAACTGCGATCGGTGCCCCGCTGCTCGTTATAATTTAAGCTAAAGTGTTATATGTTGTGTTAGAAGGAATCCATCTAAATAAAATATTGTACGATAATTATATCTTTTGCGCCCGCACTTTACCCACATGACGCCCAATAAGCACGCTTATCGCCCGAACCCAATAACCTATCTCAAGCTATTTTTGACCATCTGAGATAGTAATCTTAATCCAAATGTAGTGACAAGTGTGCCAATAACCAATCGACGGATTGTAATAGCCATTTGTAGATACAAGCTATCCATTAGAGGTCGTATCGGTGTCTGTGGATAGACCTTTGTATGAAAGTGACAGTTGACAAAAGCTCGATTTCAACAGTCAATTATTTTAACAGATTTTAACTTACACCTGTTTTTTAAAATAATTAAAAAAACTGTTTGTTATGTTTTAAACATACACATGTATATTTTAGTGTTATTTGTACGGTTTTAGTTACTTTATTTGGTTTACATTAATCAATGTTGATAATAATCAAATATGAGTGTACACTCGGTAAAATGGAACGACAAAGAGCATTTTATCCGTCGCCAAAAATGGATTGTCTTCGTAGGGTTTGGTTATTGGGATGCAGATAGGAGATCGATCGACTGTCACGGTCTGATTTTGAGATTGAAAACAATCTGAGATTGTGGATTAATTATTGGGTTCGGGCGTATGATAATGTCCATATATATCGTTCAGGTTTCTAAAAAATTCATAAAAATATTTAAGAACTGCAGAGATTTTTGAATTTTATCTACGTTTGAACGTGATAATGAACTGGTTTCTTTTACAAATGTTTTTGTACGTCAATAAAATACCTTTTAATGTCATTTCTGCGAAATTCTTCGTCATCGCTGATATCCGACAATTGCTCCGTTGGTAGACCAATAGGTTTAATCTGGAAAAAGTAATTATTATTAACCGACTTCAAAAAGGGGTTATGAGCTTGACACGTATTTAGGCTTCCAAACACGTTTAAAAACAGCCGAACCGTTCTTTGTGGTACAACTCTCAATAACACTTTACCTGCATATCAAATATTTCACAAAGTCAAATAGCCTATTGGTAAGGCACAATACGTCTTAGGGTGCGATTTCTATTTTATTTTATTATATTTATTGCTATTTTGATAAAAGCATTAGCATTAATTATACCTTAATTTTCGGTTTCGAAGGGGCAGCTACGGTGGGCGGCGAAGGCTCTTTGCTCTCTGAAAAAAAAACTTAATATAACTTAAAATATATTAACCGCTATTCAAATAGCGTAAACTTTTATGTACCATCAGAAAGAAGAAATGACCTTCTTAGTAGACCTTCATAACTTTATGAAGGGCATTTCTTCTACTGAGAGGGGTCTACTGTAGTCCCAAGTTTCGGTATCACAAATCTCTGGTTTGCCTTTAAAAATCTAATACGAGTTGATATTAAATTCCACGCAAACAATTTTATTGCTCAAAAATAATTCATTTCATTATTATGAGCCGAACCGAACCCAGAATTATGTTAACCACTAAAAAAAAATCCTTATTCCACCGTCAATGGTCTCTTAATCAAAACATAAACACTGACAAGATAAATAATTCAGTTAAAACTAACTACTAAGAAGACTAAGACTGATTCAGTTAACAATGAAGTTAGTTTTTTTTATATGTTCTATATAGGGGGCAAACGGGCAGGAGGCTCACGAGAGCGTTGGAAGCGTTCAAGTATTACGTCACGCAATTTTTGGAGATTATTGAACCCCCATGTAACGCGCCGTAAAGTTTTTGTGTACCAAATAGTAAAACGTTTCGTGACCACCCAGTGACTCTTTATACCTAAAAGTTACCATTATGTGTGTGTAAAGTCGAAAATAATATTAACAATAACGCGTAATTCAATCCCCGCCCCGCACCGTAACGTTTTACAAAAGGACCCCCACCCAAATTCGTTACGTAGTACTTGAACGCTCCCATTGCCAGGCTTTTAGGAATTGGTACGCTCTTGATGGACCCTAAGTCAAATTGGTTCAGAAATACTTCACTGGGCATTTGGTCCATATAGTGGTGGCAAAAACTGATACGGGATAGTTAAGATTATATCCTAGATGACTTACCTAACGAGGCTAAGTTGGATATCAGGTCTGCGTCAATGACCTCTTCAAAAGTGCATCCATCAGCCTCGGAGAAATGTTTCCCAGCATATATCCATCGCTCAATTTCATCTCTGTCGACGAAAACTTTTACGATACAGATGCATAGTCCACACACTATTGTATGAGGCTGGCATTTTTAACGAAAATTTGACACCACTACGTATGAGTACGCTTTTTTTATATAAACAGGGGGCAAACGGGCAGAAGGCTCATCTGATGTTAAGTGCCCATGGACACTCACATTGCCAGAAGGATTGCAAGTACGTTGGCGACCTTTTAAGAATTGGTACGCTCTTTTCTTGAAGGACCTTAAGTCGAATTGGTTCGGAAATACTTCAGTCGGCATGTGGTTGTGGAAAGACGGAGGTCGAATACGGGTGGTAATTCGAATTCTGCCTTAACATCCGATGATGAACCTCAACTGCAGATTTAAATCCGAACAACCCCTCTGAACACTCTCCATGGTTAAGCCGCTCGCAAAAAAATCTAATTTAATTTAAAAAAAAAAAGAATAAACTAAAAAAATATTTAAATGGTGTCTTCCAATTGCCCTAGAAAGTACACTACCCTATTTAGGAATGGTCCAAGAAGTGCGTAACTAAATTTTTTTTTTTTAAAACAACTTAAATTAAAACTTACTTATTCCGTTGAAATTCGTCCTTCTGAAAATTGACGGGTTTCATACGTCCATACTTCATTTCAATGCATTGAACGAGACGATTCATGACCATCATCTGACCAGTGCGACTGCACTTCTGATTACGGTAAGGCAGCAACGCCTTGTGCGCTTTTGGGAAATGTTTGCTCTGAAATATTAATATTAACTATTGTATATTCACTCACTAGAGACTGTCTCTATCTATCATAGGGGATACACACATTTGACAGAAAGAGACAAATATAATAGTGGTTGTTAGTAAATTGTTACGTATTTGATTCTTTCACACTTTCTCATAACTTTTTATTATTAGCGATAATTGCTGCCTATTTTTATTTAATAGTACAAAAATATACTTCTAATAAATATATTTTATATAAGGTTTTCTTTTTATACATATGTATACTGCTTGTGCCAGTGCGCCACACCCAAAGGACCGCATCAGTCGGGATTTTCTCATGAATTCCCCAATAGCTGAGCGGCTTCTTTTTTGGCTCGCAATAATAAAAATTTGGAAATAAATTATGTATGTTGCATATAAAATATACATATTATTTATTATTTTAACATAAAAATAAACAGTGATATATTTACATGTCGAATTTAATTTTATTGAAACTTTATCGACATCTTTATCTTGTGCATGCGCATAGATAACATATTCTTTAAATCAACGCTGTTACTATTTATAAATAATCGCTCTTATAACGTAACGCAAAAGTACAGATAAATTTAAAAATCTCAAAAATAATTACGAGATAATGAATCCGATGCGAGTAACAGGTTAGATGGTTGACAATCGTCCTCGGGTGACCCTGCTTGTAGCAAAGCGTACAAATGTACTGCGGCTCGTGGTGAGATTCCTCAGGCGGGTGCTCCACCAAGTACTCTACGCCTATCAGCGGAGCCCTAATAACCAATATAGGAATATATAAGAGTTAACAAACAAACTGTTAATAGAAAGATATCAATCGGTATGGAACACAGTATGAAAAATAATGTACTATTCCGAGTAATCTGTATAACGCTTTAAAAAGTTTATGGAGTAAAATAATTTGTTAATAATAATTTAGTTTATCGGAAAATCCATAATTAAATATATTGTTTTTATACGTCAGTCACGTGACACGTCAGTCAGTAGTCTTGCGGTCAATTAGCAAGTTTCGAGTTGGCACTCTCTCTCTCACTTACTTGATAAAAATAGTATATATCATTACGAGTGCGCAAAGCCTGTCATTGCGAAAAAATGAAGCATTTTAATAAAATAATAAAATCACAATAAACTCAACTAACTAATCATTTATTTCTTATTCACATATACATTGAAATTGGTACAGTTTTTTATACTAACTGAGGTTGCATATTTACTGTTTAAGACAAACTATTATTAATTTCGTATGATTGTTCATGTATACATATTTAATATATAACAAACAACTAAACTAGCAAAGAACATTTTTGGAAAATGGCGCCAACCGTAAAAGAATAATAAGCAGATTTTTTTTTTTCACCCATTCTGGGTAGGCAAAGGGGACTAACTATGCCCATACAGCCAAGTCTTCAGTAGATTTTTTTATTGATATGAAATGAAAATGAAATTTAATGCAATGAAACGAAATGACACCTAACCTAACTCATGAATGAATCAAATCATTAAATCTGATAATGAAACAAATTATTTGCTTCTTTTTAGAAATATTTGCATGAATCATAAAAACTTCAATGATTTTTTTTTAGTAAAAACTTTGTGGTTGGTTTTTCCTTTTTAATAGACATTATTTTGACGGTTGGGAAAGAACGCACGAGTGTGTAATAGCCCACATTCCGAACGCTATACGTCCCTGCAATACGGAACTTTTTGCGCAACTGTATTAAAAATGTCAATCGAGTTAGCATATTTTTTATTAAATTATTATAAAGTGACATTCGTTGTCCTCTTCTGTCGGCTAAAAGCTATGTTTAAATACTTACTTCGTATCATCAAGAATTTCTTGTATGTGGCATCGTAAACTTCTATAATGACCATACTTCTGTTCCAGCGGGTCCAATGTTTCCGTTGGTTTTTCATCATCTTTAAGGGTCTTGAGCGCCTCTGAAACTTTAAGGATGTGTTAATTTTGATTAATTCCTTGCAATTTTGGTAAAATCATAAAATTGAGATCTTTTATAAAAAAATATAGATTAAAATATTTTAAAAATACCAGATCTAATCACGGCTCCTTTTTCATTAAGAATATAAGGATGCTCATGAAATATTGACACAGGCCACTCATTTTTCTGCGCCAGCTTCATCTTATGTCTTTTTCCCGCAATGTGGAGCTGCAAAACACGTACTATGTTAAAAACTAAAGTAAAATACTATTTTTGACATTGACAATTTACTTATTACACACTTCAATAGAGCAGAAATATACAGAGTGTTTTTGATTTTTTCAGTATGGACTTATTTTACAAGATTACGTAAGATGAGAAGTAAAAAATATATTAAAATTCGTTCATAACGATAAAACTTAAGTTATATAACACTAACGTTTTAAACATTTCATTGGCCATTTAGTTTCGGAAGGGAAACTAAAAACTATATTTATTAATTTCCTACATAATTATTCTATCTTCACAGTTATTGCTAGTTAATTAATTCTATACATAACTAGCTGACCCGGCAAACGTTTGATTGGCCTATATGTACCTATATTAATTCTAGGAATCATTTTCTTAGTTCTATAAAAATAACTATCTACAATAATAGGTGTTGATCGTAGAGGGAGGGGAGAGAAAATTAGGGGTTGTATGTATTTTTGTATGTTGTATCATAAAAAAATAAAAACAAAAAAAAAATTGGGGTGGATGCCCCTTATCATTTAGGGGTTTGAAATATAGATAGTAGCTGATTTTCAGACTTACCGAATATGTATAAAAAATTTCATAAGAATCGGTCGAGCCGTTTCGGAAAAGTATGGGAACAAACACTGTGGACACGAGAATTTTATATATATGATTACAATAGCTATAGTAGCTCGTCATACCTGAAGGACCTGCTCTCCGCTGCACTGCGCCGCGCAGGGAAAACACAGATAAATCCACTTCCCACATCCGTCGCGTCCTTTCCGCTCCAACATAGGTCGAGCTGACCCATCTTCTAGCTTGATCTTCAAAGTTCCTAAGTGCTCCAAAAACTCCTGTTCGGCCTGTAAAAATATCATTATATACTTAAAAACTTGCTAACCAGTCGACGAATCTCACTTAACCAATAGGCGGGGGATAAAAATAAAATACGACAAAATTTTATCTTCAATATATTTATTTCTTATTTTAGGGTAATATGTTTCAGAAATATACTCACCATGAACCACTTCTATTCTAGCACAAACACAAGACTGTATTCCGAAAGACATATTGTCTCATTTTGAGTACAGTAATATACATTAAATACCTTTACGTTTTATTCCGTTAGAAGCATTCGAATAAATTTTAAAGAGAAACGCTAATATTCGATTGTTTTACTATGTTTAGTGAGTATTTTCGTAATAAGATCTGGTGTTACGTTTTAGTCACAACCAGCTTAGCTACAAATACTCAGTATGAGCCCTGTTTCTCAAATTAACTTTTGACATACGAAAGTCGCTTAGCTCGAATTGCTGAATCTGAGGGTTAAACAGGCAGAGACCTGGTTTAAATATCGGCACGTAATTTTGCCAGATTCAGCGTGTCGGGGAAAGGAAACGCATGTGGAAAAAGAACTAAAAATTACTCCAGCTTAATTAATGACACTCGGTATAGTATTTGCCTTTTGGATATTTATAAGAAATTAATTATGGTAAAGTTAATACAATTTTATGAATATCGAGTTGTATCATGCTTTATGGTTTGTGGACTAAGTTTCCGCACTTAGACTCTCAGTAGGTCCGTTGTGCGTAAAAAGCGTCGAGTTGTATCAATGTTTGTATCATCTATCATTTTATATGTAAACGATAAGTGAAAACAGAACATTTTCACATTTTTTTTCTCCTGCCCGTTTGCCTCCTATTACATAAAAAAAAAAAAAAAAAAAACCTTTTTAGCCAATTATTTGTTCTTCAGAGGCGATCCTGCCACATCTTCACATACAGCAAATTACTATGAGGATATGGTTGAGAATTGCCATAATCATTTATTTGAAACACGCTTGTCTTGAGTGTCTTATAAAACATGGTTATATTTTTTTTATTCAAACATTTTTATTGCCAAATCCAAAGGATAAACAAGTCTGAAACTATTCAGTCACCAATCTTTTATTTATACTACTTTGTTTTACAAATTATTTTACTTTTATGTAAGGAAATTATTATTCAGTAAGAAATAAACATTTCAGACTTTGATGTACTATTTTTTATTTTATTTTCTTATACTATTTTTTACCTATTATTAAAATAATTAATTTACTCAATACCAAGTCCCCAAGATGAAGAAAAACTTCAATCCAAGTCTTGCAGTACCCAAATATTGTAATAAATATATGATTGATTAGCTAATTATTGGTATTATGATATAGTAAACAAGGCACAGAAATTTACAATTATTAAAAAAACTTTGTCTTTGTCAAATGTTTAAAATCACCTTCATTCTATACATGCATAGTTCATAATGTTAAAATTTTAGATATGTTAAATTTGGAAAAATCCTTTTAAAGATACACAGTATTGACCACAATTTTATTCTCTGGAATTTGGTATTATAATATTATCTTGATTGACAATAACGAATTTTGAATAATCAATATTGTGATTTATAGGAAAAAAAAGGTTATTGAGTAATAAATAGCTCACTGGATACCTGAACACTTTACACAAACACACAAAGTTTTTATTAACCATCAACAAACTATAGCATTACTCAAACACATTAAAGCTTTTAATCTATGTTATTTTGCTAATGCTAAAACAAATTTCTTACATAAATATATGAAATGATTTTTTTCTTTGATAATTACTATGATCTCAACATATTTATAGTAATCTGCATACCTCTTCTACTTCTAATATACTATGTAAAATAACAATGTAAATAATTGCGATATTTTTTGTTTCATGCAAACCAAATCACTTTTAATAGAATGTGATTATCTTATACAATTTATTTGAAGTGGTTTGAGAAAAGTATATGTAATACTAGAAGACTTCACTAAAAGTAACTAAATGTTTATAAATGATTTAATTCAATCGCAATATGAATATAAATATTTTAAATTTCTATATTTACCTTAGTGCCTTCTAAACCAAGTTTCTTTGGTATTTCTGTTACAGTATCTTCATATCCTTCAGTACCTGGTGGACAATCAGGAAGGTCCATCTTGATTCACTACACTTTAAATTTATAACCGTTGTAAGGGTATAAACTTATTTTCACTTCACTATCTTCAAATCTTCTGAATCTTGAGCATTTACACTGCAATAAAATTAGTGTAAAGATAATTTCTAGCTATAGTATTTTGCTTGCTCTTTACATTTACTTTTAAAAACAAATTGATACTTACTCAAAAAATTTATTGCAGAATACTTACATCCTTGTGATGGTTTGATAATTTTCACAATGTGAGCATAGTTGAAAGGTTTTCAAACGATAACAGACTTACATAAATTTTTATTTAATATTTTTTTATGACATATAGACAAACCCTAGAGGTAATATCAGTCATTTTTTATATGCTATATAGCCTTTCTGAACATATTATAACAACCCAGTTATAAAATGAACTAATAATAATATATGATTTTGAATAACACCAATTAGTGTGTAAACCTATAAGATTTTAGCTCCTTTCATTAAATATATTAAAACACTTAATATTCAATGGGGCCTTCTTTGTAACAACAAGTCTTATACTATTAAAAAAAAATTCGCAGATAGTACAGAAATTGTTAATTTTTAATGGATTATAATTATCATCATCATCATATATCATTTTTGTCAATGTCATAAGCATTATATTTCTAAAATATCAAGTTTTATACAGAAAATATGTATATTAATTCAATGCTTTTCATTATGTTGCGAGATCACATATCAAAATCATTACATATATAAAAATATTTATTATACATATTATTCATATGTTCTAGGTACCAATAACCTATCAGTTTATATATTTATATAAGTTCCCAATATACAATCAAATATTATTTTGATTGTATATTGGGAATTTAGTCTTCATTGAAAGCTTTTTGCTAACTTTTTCATGTTAAAACCTATTTGCAGTTTAAACCTATTAAATTGGTATTTATGCTACAGACATTCGCGAGCATCGACCCCATTTTATCAGAATAAGGACATGGCTAATAAATGTTATTATTGTTCTTACTATTTACTTCAAGTACTAAGACCGTTTATTATATTATTAAAACAAACGCAACATATATACTACAGCCGTATATATATAGATATCTTTCTGGGATAGAAATATTTAATAACATTGAACATACAGTATATAGTATGTATGTACTAACCTGCGCAAGTATTGTTTACGTTGACACCTGACGAAACACTAAACATATCTTTTAATATATATACGTAACACATTCATCTATATTTTAAACATCTATTTAAAATAAGATATTTAATAACTATCCTACAACGAACATGCTATTAAATTATGCCATTACTATAACAGCCATTACTCATTACCATTAGACAATTTGGCCATACCACAGAGCACATTTCCACTAATTTTAACCCACCAATTTCCTCCAACCCACCAGAAAACCACTAAAATCCACACTAACTAATAAAATAAATGTAAGTGTGTTTGTTTATTTATCCTTTTTTCACGCCGAAAGGAAATATAGGATCGATGTGATTTTTATGTCCGCAGATAGGAGGGGTTAGCAACACCCGAACTATTTTTTGTTTTTACCGCGGGAAACACATGTTTTACTGAAGTAAACAGTAGTCTATGGACTATGTCACTCTTTACTTTAGATGGATAGCATACAGCTAGGATATATTTTTTGACAATAAAAGAACAATATTGTAAATTGAATTATAAAATTCGTTTATTTTCATTACAAAAAACTTATAGAAGACATACAAAATCGTTAAAAATCATCTTCAGCAGAGTCGGATTTCTCTGCACCTTATGATTTTAAGTACATTTCTTTCGTTCCTATTTTTGACTACATAATTTGGCAAGATGTAATTATTGCAACACTTTCCTTCGCGTTTTAAACCTCGCGGATTGTCATAATAGATGACAGTAGATCTAGCTTCATTCGGTTTCTGTGTTTTGTCTTCACGATATTCATAATGCTGAATAATCGCTCTACGCATTAGATCGGTAAAACTAGTAAAGATATAGCAAACGTGGCTAAATCTTCAAATCGGTTTTCTCCTCAATGTCTTCGAAATCCAGCACCTCTACCAAAATTCCACCAGCTGTACTTTCCACCACTTCCAGCCAGTCCTTTAATTGGGAGTCCCGTAACCAACAATCCGGAACTTTTGCGTATATTGCGGTTTTGGCATTTTGTTTTAAAAATAAACTAAACATTTGCAAACAAACAAGGTCGCTCCATCATACTAACAAAACTACTAAGTATCTTGTTGTGTATTTCTATTTTTGTGCATGCATACGAAACGACACATACAAATCTCATTAATTCAAATCAAATTTGACCCATTAGTCATACGAATAAAGCCCATAATCAAAATAATTTAAGAAATTGATAAACTTGTTTCGGAAAATTCCCGAAAATAACGAACGTAATTTTACAGAGTTGCCTACATAATGACAAAATATTCCTTGATAAGGTAAACGTTTTCGTCTTTTCCTGTAAAGATATCACTCGTGCTAGTGGTTAAATGTCGTACATACCACTGAATGAAACAAACTAAACCACTAGAAAAATCCACTAGCCACTAAAACCAAAATTCGCCCGCTAAAACGTATATCTAAACCACCAGATCTAGTGGAATATCCACTAAGTTGGCAACACTGGAGCTATACACTGTCGGCTGTACGCATCCGTTATGCCCATAGAGAAATAATATATACTAGGAAATAGGAATACGTAGGCACACAACGTACGTAATCCACAGATTACTAATTAGTAGCGTACAGTATATTAACCTATTCTAGCATACAGGAAGGAAATGTATGGTGAAGCCTTATAGACCAGTGCAGATAGCCTTTAAAATAAATAAAAAGTGAAAAAAATTACAGTAGGATGAAACCCATTAGAAAAGCAGGGGAATATGATCAAAATGAAAGGAAAAATAAATTACGGTCGATCTGAGGTCGGGAAGGGTAGGGGGGAGTTTTAAGGGTAAAAAACGGTTTATCTCGATTTCCGGCAAAACTACAAGTCCTATCGAAGAAAGTTAAATGGCAAAGTTGGAGGTAATAAAAAGATCTAAAACTTTTTATTCACACATTTTTCACATAACCTCAAAATTTATGTGAAAAATTCAAAAAACCAAGTTTTTGGTTTTTTATTTTTATCTTTAACAAAAATATTTTTTTAAGAAATTAGGTGAACTTACCTTTCTATGTCCCAAATACACTGTAATTTATTTGATTAAAAATATTTATTTGTTCATTATTTTGGGAATAGATCAGGGTCTAGGCGAAAAAGGGGTACTGCCATACGAATTTTTGCATTTTTGAGAAGATTTAAAATAAGATGCCTATTTTTTTCTTTTTTTTTTTTTCCTTTTTTCCCCCCCCCCCCCCCCTTTTTTTTTCCCCCCTTTTTTTTTTTTTTTTTTTTCTTTTTCTTTTTGTGGGGGGGGGGGGGGGGCCCCCCCCCCCTCTTTCTTTTTTTTTTTTTTTTTTTTTTTTTGAGAATATTTACTATGGAATATATATATATTTTTTTACCATAGGAAAGTAGAGATTTCAACGAACTGAAAGCACACCAACTTTTTGAAAAAAGCTGAAATTTTGACGTCAGAATTTTCGATTGAAAATTAGGGTGTTTTTTCGATATTAATTCAAAATAAGGTGAACAAATAAATATTTTTAATCAAATAAATTACAGTGTATTTGGGACATAGAAAGGTAAGTTTTCACCAAATTTCGTTAAAAAAAATATATTTTTGTTAAAGATAAAAATAAAAAACCAAAAACTTGTTTTTTGAATTTTCACATAAATTTTGAGGTTATGTGAAAAATGTGTGAATACAAAAGTTTTAGATCTTTTATTACCTCCAACTTTGCCATTTAACTTTCTTCGATAGGACTTGTAGTTTTGCCGGAAATCGAGATAAACCGTTTTTTACCCTTAAAACGAGCCCCCCTACCCCTTCCCGACCTCAGATCGACGATAATTTATTTTTCCTTTCATTTTGATCATATTTCCCTGCTTTTCTAATGGGTTTTATCCTACTATTATTTTTTTAGGTTTCAAAAATTATCGGCACTGGTCTATTTGGGTTTAAGACATAATCACTTTGCGATAGGCGTGGCTCTGTAATGCCAATACATTTTGTATGGGATTTGGTCTCGAGCCCCTTGTCAACATATATTTTTTTTATATTCGGCAAATACCTGATAATTAGTTATTTATTTAAATTTTAGTTACATTTTCGGAATAGATGCTCTTTTCAAATTTCCAACTCGAAAGTAATCTTTTATTTATCTATATGACAATGAGAATCCATTTATTTTTTATAGATATGCAGTGTTGGTACGAGGACAATCTTCTTAACGGAGCTAGCAAATGTCCATGGTTATTCTTAGTTTCTGTAGGCAGGGGCTTTCAAATCTTGACTACATCTGGACTACACTTCTATGACACCCTACAGAAAGAAAACCCTGATGAAATGAAACTATAAGTCAATGTTTCAACAATTTACGTTGCAATGGGCTTGAGACAAAATCAAAAAATAAGAAATGATTATGGTCACGTTACGAAGCGTGCAGGAATGTTCCTTTTATGTATTTTCGAATTTCGAAATGTCTTTGCATGATTTTTTCTCTTTCATCAACTGATTAGGAACAGAGAGATTTAGTACTTACTTTTAAATGGCTGATATTGTGCCATTTATATGGGGGTGCATGACGTAACAGATACATTGTATTATTATGAAAATGCAATGGTATGTAAAAAATGAAAAAGGCTCAACTGGATGGATTTTCGTGAGATAAAAACCAATATATTTAAAATCATCTATTTTAGGCATTTCTCTATTATATATTTAATAAAAATTTGACATAAAAAAATTGCTTACAAAAAATAATACTAAGGTCAATAAATAATGTATGATAGTTTGGGTATCCTATATCAGCCAAATTAATAATTCTGTTGTTTCTTTTTAAACCGTAATATTTTATTTATAATATAATATATTGAAAATTTGCTCAAACAGTCCATTTAAATTCTCCATTTAATTGCAAACACATATTTACAGTAGGTGCAATAAATATTCTCCCCGTTTCGGTAGTATGTTTTGATATGTTTTTATTTTTTTAGTTGTCCATTTAATTAACTAAACATATGTCTCACAAACTCGCTAATTCTTCCTTATTATTACACTTATTACTTATTTTAATACAGCTTCTAAATATGGTGTATTAAATTGGCTAACCCAATATCCCTCAAAAGCCTTGTTCTCCAACAAGATGAAACCCATTATTCCGACCGAAACCGATGCTACAAATGATTTCGATAATGATGACACTGCCTGTGCGTTATTTTTATTCTCGTTTACCTTACATATAGGTGGGCAGAGGCAATTGAGTCCAAGGGCCTCCCTTTGTAAATAAGGCCAGTAAGTTTGGAGATAGCGAAAGCCTTTGATTGGGTGTGGCACACAGCACTTTCTTGGAAGATGTTCCCAGCCTATGAGCTCCCTAGATATTATGTTTCTGGATTTTTAGCTATTTCGCGAACGTCATAGACGGAGTACCTTCCGACCTCTAACCCGTGATGCGTGCTGTGGTCCGACAAGGCTGTGCCCTCGACCTATGCCCTATTAATATTAATCATATTGTTACGAGCTAGAGAATCGAATAGAAAACGCCGTAGATCTCTTCAAGGGTTTTTTTTATAAATCAACGAGGACTACATGCACATTCTAGGCAGGAGTGGTACTGAGTAGATAATGTTCTATCCATTTCGCAGAATTCTAGAACGTACGAACTCTTTATCTCTTTCGCGCATCATTCTTTCGCTCCGTCCTTGTCGAACGATGTTCTAGAATAATCCGTCTGGCTTTGAGAATGTTCCCTCTCTTTTGCGTATCATTCCGCCCTTGTCTCACTCCTAGAAAGTTCACTTTTGAATATTCCTTTATGATAGGGGTGTAACCAGCCCCGAAAACGCCTGGTTTCCAGTATTTTTTCAGTACCACTCGACTACACTTGCTCTAAAACAACCCTGCCTCCAGATGTTTCTCGGCCAGTTGTCGATGAGTATCAGAACAAACTTGTGTCTGAAGTCGAAACCGCTAAATGGAGTCTCGGACTGGAACCGACTTAATTAAGTCCAATTTAACCAAAAGAAGACACGAAATTGCCCATTTTCCGCTAAACACCCCTGTCACTACTCCTCCCATCGAAAACACTCTCCGTAAAGCGTCAGCTGGGATCGGAAGAGATCTTTCTGCTTTGCATCCTAATGCTAAAGGATATGAGGATACAAAGATATGATGGTTTTTGAATTAATTATATAAATATATTCAAATAATAACATATTATGTACTCATATTCAAAGTCGATCTGAAATCAATTTTAATAAAATCGTATTTCAATGTAAAATGACAGGAGTAATTTCAAGATTTATTGTAATAAGTTGAGAATATGTGTCAAAGTCGTCAAAAATATATAACTCTTGAATAATAATATATCGCAGGTTCTATAAAAAATGTTCAACCTGTATCATCCTTGCGTTTGAAGTTCGCACAAGCCTTTAGAGGGCATTCACCGAAACTTTGTAGCTTGCTCTAGAGCTAATAAGTAATAATAAGCAAGATCTCGAAGCCACCTGCCCTAAGCCTGTAGGCAGCGAACCGCAGACAGAATCGCGTTTACAATGAACTGCACCGGACGTATTAGTTTTGCCGCCACTTTCTGGTTTTTAACGCTTTTGGTTTTTGTTCAAGCATATACCACTTTCACTCCCGGGGCTATTTCGCACCATGGAACTCCTATAGAAATTGAGTATTGGGATTTTAAAAGAAAACCTATCGATCAGATGGTAGACATTACTAATGAACTTGGTATAAAAGTATTGGCGGAACATAATTATTTAAATTCAAATAACATAGCATTTTCTCCATACGGGTTAATGGGAATCCTAGTGGCTTTATATGAGGGAGTAGATGGTGAATCTTCGTATCAAATCCAACGTAGTGTGCCATTACCTAGAGATCGAAGAATTATAAGGATAGGTTTCAGAGATATACACCGCGCACTAAAGGTAAGTTATAATTATAATGTAGATTAAAATACACACTATAGGTTTTATTTTTTTAAATTAGATCATAAGCAAAAAGTGTATCAGGTCAATACGTTATTTTTTTTATTTAAGTTTTAATATTATATCATTATACACTAGAGCCACTTAAAATTAAATGTTTTATGATATTGCATTATTATGTACGTCTCACGTCTAGAATTTAATTAAATTTACAAAAAAATGGTTTTTATTAACTCTTATTAACGTCAGTTCTTCTGTTTTTTTAAGCAGATTATGAATTATTCTTATTTGCGTATTAGGATTTAAAAGTGTTAAGTAACGTTGGTTAATTGTAACTCTTTTTTCTTGCAAAATACTGATTTATATGTACAACATATTGACATATTTTTTTAATAAATATATTTAATCTGTTATAATTTAATATTATACCTACACCTATTGCCAGTCGCTACAGTAATGATAATTTCATAAATCTCCTGCAGTTAATTGTTATAGCTCAGTATGTCATATACCTATTATCTGCTATGAGTAATAACCACACGTAATAATCTTTTCTTTATATGTTTTAATAATATTTCAGACATATTTTGTTCCTGAAGAAGGATTTTTGGCAGGATTGGCTTTAAATAATGAAAATGTAACATTTACGGAAAGTTACAAAACTGCTTTACGTTTTTATAGTTTTGAGTTACAAAACGAGCTCAACGCTACAAGTAGTGAAAGCACGAATATGACATCTCCAATGGCAGATACTCTAGTTACAACAACAACAACAACAACCACAGTGCAATCTACTACGAGAGTAAAAGAAGAAAGTACTACAAATCACGTTACGGAATCATTGGGTACCACAACTGCAGCTGCCATGGAATCAACAACAAATGTAGAAATAGTCACACAAACTGAATCTCCTACAACTCAGAGTTCGAGTCAAACATTTACAACTGAAACTATTACAACACAAACGGAATCTCTTATCACAACTGAACTGTTAACCACTCGTGATTTAACTACTACCGAGATCGTATCATCACCAATTTCAACAGAAAGTACCTCACCACCACCTACGACTGAAATTGCATCATCATCAACTGTGACGCAAACCACATCATTACTAACTACGACCGAAAGCACATCACCACAAACTACGGTGGAAATAGAATCTTCATCGACAACTGAAACAATGTCGTCACCAACAGCATTTACAATTATCGAGGATAGGCAATATCTACTCCAACGAGGATATCTGAACAGGCTGACAATAACACCGCAACATCTGGGAATGATTCCGCGCTGGAGACTCTGCAACGAAGGAAAAAATCATTGTTAGATTTTTTATTCACCAATCCACCTGACATGGATGTCTATGAAGAATACAGGTCTTTTACCATCGGACAAGAAGGATCTGAAATTGATATGGATACACAGTTTGAGGTTAATGGAAACCGAAGAATTGAGGTATATAATACCTACTACCTTCTACCTTATATATCCTTTCTAACCAATGCGATAAGTAAAGTTTAATAAAACTATGTATTTTTCAGGTACCGTATATGTATTACGATTCTGTGTTACACCATGCCTATTTACCACATTTGGAGGCATCTGCCATTCGTCTGCCATTGGACAGCGACCGTTATTACTTGCTAATAGTGCTACCACTCAGAGCAGGGTATGGGGAAATCGAACGACTGCTTGCGCGCATGGCAAGGGAGTCAGACCTCTCCGACGTTTACGGAGCTTTAAGACCTCGGCGTGTCAGAGCGAAAGTACCTAGCTTTGTTGTGAAGGGTCACGTTATTTTAACAACCGATCTACAAAAAGTAAGATGTTATATTCTTTATATTTTGATGAGCCACAAATTTATGTGTGCAAAGAATAAGGTTTATATTTAAAGCGTGTTTTAAAAATCCTTCTCGAATATTAAAGATGCCAAGGACACCTTTTTATTATTTTAACCGAAGTTAAACTTTTATAACAAAATCGTGAAAATTGATTTTAGGTTGTTTTGACCTACCTATATGTTTATCAACACGGCTAGTCATAAAATCAAAATCGTTGTGTAAAATTTTGACATTAGTGAAATTTCGATTCTTAATACTTCTAAGGTGGTATATTAATCACTGATCTTGTTCGTTTATATATTGAAAAAAAAATTGTCATTCTATTCTTCATCAGAAATATATGAATTAAAAAAAAATATGTTTATTATGGAACTTAAGATACAGGTATCACTTATTCCACGTCATTAAATTTGAAACTGCAGGCATCCCACCTCATTAAATTGCAAAGAAGACAGAGGGTGTAGGCCGAGAGAAAAAGCCGGAGTAAAAAACTCTCGGTACTCTTTTAAAATATCAAATCATAAAACAACACTTATTTCAAAACAAATATCGCAAATTAATTAGAAGTAGCCTATAATATAGCACTAGTCCCAAGCCTTTTTATCAACTAGATAATCGTTAACTTTATAGTAAGCCTTTTAACACAGCTTTTCTTTAATACATTTCTTAGATTTATTAAAAGGCAGAGATAAAAGAGCTTGTTTTTGACACTTCTAATATGAATCTAATTTACAACCTTTGGTTTTCTATGACACTTCAATGTAAATAATAATTAATAAATTAAATATTGCCATAGCTCGGAATTCGCGACGTCTTTGAGCCTCGTCAAGGGGACTTTACACCTATGACTTCTCAGACTGGGGTTTACGTGCGAAGCATTGAACAAGCGGTCTCCGTCTCGATGAGGAAATATCAACCAGATGAATCGAAGAGTGGGTATTTCATACACTTATATATTTTTATTAGTCATAGATATATAGGCTAACCTACGCAAGACGTGAAAAAATTATCAGAAAAAAGACAGAAATCCGAAGCCCAGACCTAAAAGGTTGTAGCGCCACTGATTTTTTTTTAATAGTTACAATTAAATTAAAACGGAAGTTTTATCTTGTCAAAAAAAATAACGTAAAATTGTTGTTTAATTGAATTTTGACAAATTAAACGCTTTAAAATGATTAATTGGAATTTGACGGCGTACAAAGCTCTGGGAACATTCCGAGGTCACGGTGGTAAACCATTTAATTGACCAAAGGTGCGGTCAACGTTTGAGACGATGCGAGACAGCAAAGTAACGCGATTGTATACCCATCTATTTATTTAAAAAATATTCAATTAATTAATATAAGAACGTATGTGATGATGTCAACTGTAATTTTATTTTTTTAAATTTAATTTGAACTACCTGTTTCTCGAGGTTTCACTTGCGTTAATTTAAAACCTTTGCACATCATGTATGCGCTTGTGGTATTTGAGCAATTTTTTTTTTGCAGTTATTTTAAAACTATGATATTAGCAGTTAATTTTCAAAACTATTACTTTATATTAGATTAGTATTAGTACATGGTATCCATCCATCCATAGCGATGGCCTACTCGAATCGATCAAAGATCAAAGAGACGTAATTTTTTTGATTCACTATTGACCGCATCACATATCTTTAAGGATCTTTTGGCACTAGGTACTTCTATGTAGAGCTTTATATGGGTTAGTTGCCCACCTTGCTATAACACAACAATTTTGAGATAGTTTCAAAGAGTCTCATAAATTAATAACGTAATAAAGTAAACATTAATATATCATAAATTTAATGTTTTATACCGTTCACCTAATTTTCTGGTTTGAGAGTAAGATAACTATAATTGCTAAAAGAATACAATTCGCAGTGCGAAGTATATAAACGACCGTTGTCTATTGTCTATGAGCGATGTTGCAACGACACGCACATTTGAATCAATTGATGCGCCCCCGCCGCTCGCGCAGGCAGTGACTGTAATTAGGTAAATTATTGCACAAATATTACTGGCTAATGGAAGTTATGATTCCTCGATAAATAAAGTTTTCAATTACATAAGTGGACCAAACTGGGAATAATTACGAGTTGATTGTTTCCTGTCAGTTGTCAACGCAAATGATTTAGCTATTTTGTTTTAATTTTAACGGTTCGCCGCATTTGCATTACGAGGTCGAATTTTTGCGACATGATATTTATTTAGATAAGCAAATTAAGCTATTTTAATCTAAAGCCATGCCACACATGTATTTTACTATGCATAAACAATGAACGTTAATATTAATCATTTGTACCTGAGAAATATACCTTTTGTGTTCTATTGTTAGTTCGTTATTATACAAAAGTGGATAAATGATTAAGTAGGTATTAAAAGGTTATGAAACATACCGTTATTCAGATTTTTTAGTAAATAATATATTAAATTATTAAGATATTACTCTAAACATACGTAACGCGTAATCCTTTTTTGTATATATTTTAAGATATTACCCGAACCAATTCAAATATTAATTAACAATATAATATATTGACACTTTAGTGCGGTCCCGGTCCCATATATGGGCATCTAAAGTTGTACACATACACCATGTTTCCTTAAGGACTATAGTCTTCTTAGCTTGCTTGCCATTTTATTGAATTAAACGTAATGTGAATATTAATATTTAAATATACATACTAGCTGGATATGTATAACTTTATTCCATGTGTTTGTTTGTTTATACATATATTTTCTTATTCCTTATCCCTTCTTAGGAGCTACCTCAACTATTTACCAAACATCCCGTAATAACATACAGAAATTATATAATTCTTATTTGTTTATATATTATCAACTAAATTATGGTTATATAAGCAGTATTTTTTAAATCTACGGACTTTAATATAGATATTATTTATTTCAGAAAACTTATCGAAACGACGCCGACCCATTACTTTCACAGCAACCTACCCATTCCTGTACTTCGTCATGGACTCAACCATACATGTATCTCTGATGGCTGGCAAATTGGTTGACCCATTGAATTCAAGAATATTATAGAAATACAAAATCACTCAGTTCTTTTATGAGACAAAACCTGTAAAGATTTTCAGATATTTGACATAAATGCTATTTCTGAATACACTTTATCATTTATTAGACCCTTGGTATTCATTGAGATCTGACACCCACTAAAATTATGAGTTAAATTTGTTAGAATAACTAATAATTGTGTTAAGACCGCATTCTACTGAGGTCGTAGGTTCGATCCCCGGGTGTGCCCAAATCATTTTTTCTCTTTTCGCTTTTCATTTTTTCTAAAAACGAAAAAGAAAAAACAGGAAGAAACCGGCTTCCCAAAGACCCATTAAAAGTCGAACATGCTGTGGCCGGGTTCACCTACTAGCTATTAGATTTATTGATCATAAAACAGATTCAAAAATCTGAGGACAAGACCTAACAAAGGTTGTAGCGCCACAACAAGACGTTAGGAAATGCTTTGGGGGTTATTTGATCGGTAAAATTTTAAAGGCTCCATTAATATTTTAATAAATAAAACAAATAGGTTTTTTGCGTTATTTAATTACACATATCACTTCGCCCTCTTAGACTTGATTTTTCTTAAGTAGAACTCGAGCTCTTTGCCCTCCAATACGTAACCATCGGCGCGACCGCACTGGCCTGGCCGACTCGACACGCAGGCTAAAAAAACATTTCTTAATTACATAGTGAAGAACAAAAAAATATAATCTTGTTAGATGCGTAAAAAATTCAGAGTAACTATGACAGATATCATATGACTGCTAGACAGTTCCCAAAACGGTTCCCGCCAATAAATGCAGCCTCACAACTTCTCGATTTCATCATTAATAAGAAGAATGGATGAGATTGTTAATTTAAGAAAAGAAAAGCTGTGCACAATCCAGTGTTTAGTTAAATCATAACGTATTATTAAAAAGTCCTCTCCCACATCTGTTTATGATGCACTAAATAACTACAAGGATGTTCAATTATAATGAAGAAGGTTTAGATTGTAGTTTTTTTACCTAATAAACGTCCAGTGTGGAATTGTTCTTCAAGTCCAGCTTCAACCTTAGAAAGGCGCTGTCTTGACAAATATTTTTTTGCGGTCTTCTTGCTCCTTTTTTTATTAATAATGGCTTCTTCAGCTTCAGTCTTTAAAATAAGATATTTGTTATGGTAATGTTTTTATTATGGGGTTTAGTACATTTTCAGAATCACAGAGCATCATCTGACAGTGTCTATATATGAGTAGAATTGTTATAATGTTATAAATAAGTTTACAAATAATTATTATTTTAAAAAAAATTAGGTCCATATTCTAATAGGCATATAATCTCCACATAAAGATACTAGTACTGGTTAAGTTGGAGTGACATTCTGGAATTCAGAAGAGGTTGGCACTCTAATAACTAAACATTCAATTTGATAAAGTAACAGCAAGGCAACAACTAATTCTTTACACTTCATGAATTTTTAAATTCCCAAAACAAAAAATGCTATGAAATTTGCAACAGTTTCATGGTATTATGGTTAACACAGAACTTATTTGGTGTCCTTACACTGTTTAAAGAAATCTTATAAAAAATATTGTTTGTTCCATCCATTTTTAATATATTACAAAATTAAAACATAGGCACAGACCAACTTTTACAACAACACAATCACTAATTTATGGTTTTTTAATCTAGACCTACAACAGTTCATTCTATAATTATTTAATAAAAAAATGCTATATCTCAAACATATTTCCTTTAAGGATCTGCTTATTTTACTAAGTGACATATTTGTGGACCTGATTTTTTTTTTTAAATTAATTTATCATATTTGGGCATAGAACTCAATCAACAACTACAGCAAAATTATTAAAAAATTGAGACAGTTAAAGATTGGCTCACCAGTTTAGCACCCTTCTTTCTTCCAAGAGGCAGAAGGTAGTGGGATTCATACCACTGGCGGAATGGGGTGGCATCGACTACCACTATAGCATTCTTCACAAGTGTCTTGGTACGCACCAACTCATTGTTAGATGCATTGTATACTACATCTATGATACGAGTCTTACGAGTGGCACCTGAAATACAAAATAATAAATAGTTGGTAATAAAAGACAAATAAATATGTTTGAAAATGATGAAAAATGTGGGATGAAAAAAATTTAACTTCATCATAATATATATAGTCATTTCTATTTGTTTTTTGCATTTTTAATGGGTGTCCAGGAATTTTAACGAACCTATGTTTTAAACATTCAAAACTTGGGTTAGACATAACTATTAAAATTTTGGTAGATACTTACATTCCGAACCCCAAGCAAAGTTACCGGTGTCAAGACGTAATGCACGGTATTTTGTATTTCCTCCACGAGAACGGACCCAATGAATACGTTGTGGGCCAAGCTGAAAGAAATCATTTCACAGTTAAAAAACGGCACACGAATATCACAACAGCTCTAAGAGGTTATATTATAAACACGTTCTTACTTTGGTGTTAGCAGCCGGGCGACCTAACTCGTACTTCCTCTTCTTACGGATTGGGGCGCGCTTACCGCCCGTAGCTCTCCTCTTATGCCAGTGATCACGGCTGATACCTATACATAATCAAAAATTGATAAGTTGAAGAAGAAAGTTCACTCACTTCACATATTTATTTTGATAAAGATTTAGTTCGTCAAACAAAAATAATAACAGAAACAATTTTTCACATCCTTAGTTCACTTAAATATAATAGTTTTAAACTTAAACTTATCAATAATATATTGATAAAATTTGATTTAATTTCACAAATTACAATTCTACTCACCCATCTTGTCTGGGTCAGAAAGAAAAGATTTGTCAAAAGGACTAAAAGAATGTCGTAACTATAGGTGTCAAATGTCACGAACACTGACATTGACAAAATATCTTAGATGTAGTATATATATCGTCGCTTAGCTAACAATACCGCATAAGTCAGATTTGATATTTTCAGAGACAAAAACGTACAACATTTTGTACAAACAAGATAAAAAATTTAATATATTAGAATTTAGACTTACAGTTCGTATGAGATAGAAATAGCGCATGAGATAGAAACCCCGCTTGAAATAGAAATAGTGTAAAAATAAGAGTGGAGATCAGAAAGGCTATAAATGTTATATAATATTACTTAATATGTGAATGAGTGAATGAAAAACCTAATTCACACTCATATGATCTTTTAAGTGGTTATCATTCACTAATTTAATAAATTCTGTTGCTCATTGCTTTTAGTGCATTAGGAAAATGTAAAAAAAAATATATTACCACAATGTTACAGCAATAAACTTATTATTATTTCTATTAAACTTTATTTAATTGTTTCTTGGGAAAATCCTTCGTTTGTCTGTCTTGGTCAGCAGTCTCGGTTTAGATTATAGAGACGATTTAGAGTTACAATTTTTTTTTTATAGAACTGGGGGCAAACGGGCAGGAGGCTCACCTGATGTTAAGTGATACCGCCGCCCATGGACACTCTCAATGCCAGAGGGCTTGCGAGTGCGTTGCCGGCCTTTTAAGAATTGGTACGCTCTTTTTTTGAAGGACCCTAAGTCGAATTGGTTCGGAAATACTTCAGTGGGCAGCTGATTCCACATAGTGGTGGTGCGTGGCAAAAACTGCCTTGAAAAACGCTCAGTTGTGGAACGGCGGACGTCGAGGTGATACGGGTGGAATTTCGTATTCTGTCTCGACGTCCGATGATGAAACTCAGCTGCAGGTATTAATCCGAACAACTTCTCTGAACACTCTCCATGGTAAATGCGATAGAAGATGCAGAGTGACCCCACATCTCTACGCAACGCCAAAGGATCAAGCCGCTCGGAGAGGGATTGGTCGTCGACGATTCGAACCGCTCTGCGTTGTATACGGTCAAGTGGAAGGAGCTGGTACTGGGGAGCCCCGCCCAGAGGTGTGAGCAGTACTCCAGAGCTTTATATAGTTACGTCCGCTGCGTTTTTTTTTTTTGTGTTCTCCTCCCCTTTTTTCTTTTTGTTTTTTTTTTTTCCCCTTCTTTGTCCCCCCCCCCTTGTCTCTCCCCCCGCACCTTTTTTCTTCTTCCCCCACCCCCTTCTCCCCCTCCCCCCCCCCCCCCCGAACCCCCCCCGGGCGGCCCTCCTTTGCTACCCCCCTTTTTCTCCTTCTACATATTTTTTTTTCTTTTCAAACAATTCTTTTTGTGGGTAAAAAAACAGCGGGGGGGGGGGGGGGGGGGGGCCGGGGGCCCTCCCGCCCCCCCGCTTCCGACCCCCCCCCCCCCGCCCCCCCCCACACCACCCCCCACCCCAAACGCCACCCCCACCCCCCCCCCCCCTCCCGGGGACGCCCCGCGGGAGCACCCCCCCACCCACCGCCCCCCCCCCCCCCCCCCCACCCCCCCCCCCCCCCCCCCCCCCCCCCCCCCCCCCCCCCCCTTTTCCCCCCCCTTTTTTTTTTTTTTTTTTTTTTTTTTTTTTTTTTTTTTTTTTTTTTTTTTTTTTTTTTTTTTTTTTTTTTTTTTTTTTTTTTTTTTTTTTTTTTTTTTTTTTTTTTTTTTTTTTTTTTTTTTTTTATTTAATTTTGTTTTTTGTGTGGTTTTTTGTTTTGTTGAATGTGTTTTTGTTAATAAGGCGTTCGTAAGCATAAATATAGCGTAAATATCTTAATAAAGAGTTTTAAACAATATAATGTAGATTATCCTCCTTTTCGGCATCTTGTCATTATAATGTAACAAAAATACATTATCACTTAACTAACTAGTGTATACAGACGGCACACTTAATTTCATAAAAGTATCAGAATTTGATAACTTTCTAACTGTACGACTATCAAGCAAAAGGACAAAGTGTGGATCATGTTAGATGTCTGGTTTACTCATCATGCACATAAGCCATATTCTGTGCGTTTTCCAATTACAGAGCATAATGCGACTCAGTGCCGCACAATGCCGCATTATGCTGAAGCTTAATTGGAACGTGAATTAGTTTTCAAATGCATCAGCAGAGTGCGCTAAGTCAGTGTTGAAAAAAAAAAATGTTCTGAATAGAGTTAGCAACCTCATTAATGTATAAATCATATGGTAAACAATAATAATTGGTTGAAAACTATTTACGCTTATTTAGTAAGTAATTTGGATTTTGATTATTTCATTAACATTTTTTTACTGAAATAAGAGAAAACCTATAAAGAATATAAGGTTTTAACAAGCTAAATTAACAGTAAAATATTTGGTTTCATGTAAGAAGTTTACATCATTTACGTTTACCTAATTTTTTTAAATGATTTCTCAAAAAATTATATACTTTTTCAAAACCATTGCAATGTTTACAAAAGTATAATCCTGTAAAATAAATTTGTTTACAGATCCGAATTTTAAAATGAAATTGTATTCATATTTTAAATGTGGAATATAAAAAAGTAACTATTTATACCTTCATCCATACTTATATTTATTGAAGTGAAACTTCTTTATCGAGGTTGGAAAAAAATTTAGCGTAACATTTTTTCGTTACGCGTCACATTTTTCGGTTACGCACCATGTTGCTTTTTGAAGTCAAACTTCTTTATCGGCGTTGGAATGAAACTTCTTTATCGACGTATGGGAGAAATTTTGTAGCAAATCGTCACGTTTTTCAATGATAGTAATAATTCTATTACAATTAATGAAATTCTATAATAATCTTCGTAGTAATAAGGTAAAATGAAATATTTGTATTCATGTTTATGATAATAAAAGCCTTTTGTTAAACTTTATCTAATTTAACGAATTTCTGTAAAGTTGCATATAGTAGATCATTTTTCGAAAAATAAGATCATAAAGAAGTTTCACTTCTTACGTGTGTACACCGAGTACACGCACAATTTATTTTTTTTAGCAGTTTGAAATAACTTTAATTATTTTCAAAATCTACGACGAAACGAAAGCCTTACAAATTTTTCAACAATAAATAATATTTACTAACGAATATTTCGATCAATGCCAACTTAAAGAAAAACACTGGTCAATTTTCTGTCACTGTGTTGGTATTGATTGCGAAACTATCCGGGAAGAAACGCATTAACGGTGGAAACAAACTACTATTAAAACGCCACGCCACGCAATGAATGTCGACACCCGATGTCCATCGTGCCACATTACCAACACGCGACACCACGACACACTTGCAAATTCAGAAGTCATTTAGCTGACAATTGACATTTGTGCCAAAAACTCGAACGTTTGACGCTTGGCGTCAACAACACGACAACACGCCGATCCAAATCGATTGGATGTTACCGCGTGTGATCACATGGCGTGTTGTCTATGTGCATCTGACCATATTAAATATATGGGATTGATAAGTACTCCGACATGCGTCGGATGGCGTGGTGTAGCGTCGCGTTTTGGTAATATGTTTCCGCCTTTACTTTTGAGAGTGCTCAATTGTGCGAAGCGTTGCTGTAGTTGGAACATGCAACGTTGAGCATTATGCCGCATAATGCGCTCTAGTGCTGTAATTGGAAAACGCACTCTGTATAGCGCCAAACAGCTAGATGTCCTCTCATGTTTTATATGCTTTACACTTATTGTTTATAGAGTATACACAAGGTTTAGATATCTGTGGCCAAAACTCAATTGTCATTTGAGATGAGGCCTGTGGGACGCTACTGCTAGTTAATAGTTATTGCCTACTGTTTTCTTGATGGTTGCTGCTTTTATAATGAAATTTCCTGAAAACAAAGTGAACTAAAATAGGCTTTTCTGTTAAATAATTGAACACTTCATTTAATTTGTGTTTCTAAGGTTATCAAAATGTCGTCGACGGATTTTTATATTCGTTATTATGTGGGCCACAAAGGCAAGTTTGGTCACGAATTTCTTGAATTTGAGTTTAGACCTGACGGTAAATTAAGATATGCTAATAATTCAAATTATAAAAATGATACAATGATTCGCAAAGAAGCGTATGTGCATCCTTGTGTGATGGACGAACTGAAACGTGTTATCGTAGATTCAGAAATTATGCATGAAGATGATCGACTGTGGCCGCAACCAGATCGAGTCGGAAGACAGGTAATGCGAATTTGATTGTTATTGATATTCTGAGTTATTTATTTAGTAGACATAACAAGCACTCATACGCACACACAATAGTATGTAAAAGTAAGCATAAAATAATTTCATATTTTCTGCACTTTAGGTTATACAAGTTTAAACAGGTAGTAATAAAGTTTGTTTGTTACAGGAATTGGAAATTGTTATTGGAGAAGAACACATATCTTTTACAACTTCAAAGACTGGTTCATTAGTGGATGTTAATCAGTCTCGTGATCCAGAAGGCTTGCGTGGCTTCTATTATTTAGTGCAAGATCTCAAGTGTCTAGTATTTTCACTGATTGGTCTACACTTTAAAATAAAGCCCATATAAGTTACTATAATATAGTTGGAATCTTAAATAAAAACCTTTTATACAAAATTTGTTGGTTTATTTTGGTAAAACTTCACTTACTATTTATACCCTTATGTATTTTTGAATTCTGTCATTTAAAAGTGCATTAAATCAAGGCTGTTTAGAGTTTGCTATCTAAAAGATGATGAGAAAGATGTTTAGCCCTAAATTATAGTAAGTTGTAATAATATTAGACCTTATTTTTAAATATTTTATTTTTCTAGACCTATTCATTTCAAAAAAATTAACCATTCCATGCACAGGGCAGATGCAATAAAAAAAAACATTTTCACAGATAGCTATTTTCAGTATATTATTTCCATAACTACTTAAAATATATACTATATTATAAACTGCTTTTTAAACGCTACCGATACTAAATATAAAACAGTCAAAAATTTTCATCCATAGTAATATGCTTATAAAGAAACGTATGTTGCTGTATTTATTTATGTTTATAGCATAGCTTTGCGCGTTGCGCGCGCATCGCATCTGCCCGACGGCGACTATGGCGGACGAGCTGTGAAGTATGGTCGAAGTCCTTTTAAAATCGGAAAGTATCGACAGTTGCCAATGGCATAAACGAAGTTTTCTGTAAAAATTGTACATTGTAAATAGTCCTGTGTACATATAGTAATTATATTTGTGGTCGTTTTGTTTAGAAATTGTGTGAATAGTGTATTATTTTGAGTGTTTATTGAATTCAGTTCTCGACGCCGACAAATCTATAATTTGTGTGTTAATACAGTGGCACGTAACATAAAACAACAAAATAAGTGATTTCTGAACATCTATTACTCGTCTTAAGATAGTTTTGTTCACCCTCTTTGTTTCAAAACTTAACGAATAAAGCCATTGCCCGATCCTTGCAATATTTTGGTCCTTTAGCGGCTGTCATTGTGCCCCGATAAAACTAGTAGCTGTCATTACAAAGACAAAAAGAATACAAAAGTCACTAAATGGCTTCTATTTTGAATAACGCTAACCACAAGTAGTATGTTTGATGATGTAAATCGAATAATTAGAATATAGATCGATTATTATTAGTAGGTAATAGCCGTAGCTTCTTAAAACAGAGATTGTGATTGTTGTTTACGGTTTGTGGTACTGAAGCGTGGTAAAACTGAATGCTCGAGCCTCACGATAGCCCAATGAAGTGGCCAGGCACAGGCGGTGAAGAAGAGGCCGGAGAAGGTGGATTGCAAGCGGCGCGCGCGTCTCAAAACCGCGCTCAGGACGACGCTGCCGTGCACTATATGTTCCAGCGAGAAAATCAAGAAACCGAACTGTCCTTAGCTTCTAAACAACGGTGGGCCGTTGGTGATGATAATATTGCTGAGGTATGCATTTAATGAGTAATCATAAACACCTAAAAACATATAATCCAATTGAAATACAAACTTAATTGTGACACTGTTTTGTCAATTTGACATTAAAGAATTTGAAATTATTGTATGAAATGCATTCTTGTAGTATTAATACATTTGTAATAACATATAACCCTGAAATTTTATATGGTTTGGGTATTAAAACTATTGAATTAAATACCAAAACTATTTGTTCATTTGTAATATAACATCCTGAAAGTATTTATTTACATTTAGGGTAAGATTCAGAATAGAGACAAGAGTAGCGTTAAGTATGTCTCCTGTGTGTCAAATCCATTACATTCAATGTAATTGTGAGAATGATGCTTAACACGCTTTTAAATTGAAATCTTACCCTTACTTTTGTTTTGATATATAAATGGTCTTTTAAGTTTTATTAATAATAAAAAACATATGAGTTAAAGATATTGCTATTGTTACAAAATGTTATTGCAACTGACAACTTTTAAATTATTATACAATAACCACCATAACATCAAAATAATATATATTTGTATTTTAGATGAAACTTTATTTTATTTTACATAAAATTCTTTGAAAATGTTTTAATGGCCAAAAAAAATAATATAAATTTAAGAATTGATCACATTGTTTTGAAAGTAAATTAAAAGTTCTGTCTCTTTTATTCCAGAATCAAGATAAATGGAAACACCCTGCACCAATGGCAATGAATAATATGCAACCTCAAGGACAGATGGTGCCCTTAAAAAATGCACAGGTTACCCCACAACAATATATTAATCAAAATATTGCATCATCAGTGGGGCCGCTGGCTATCAATCCATCAGTTATTGGTAGTCACCCACATTTGACAACCAGCATGGTTCACACTCAGATGGCACCACTTCAAAATCATGCCTTGGGAAATAATCTTATTCAAAATAGTGCAATGATGTTACCACCATTACAAGGCATGCAAAATGCTCCACAACTTGGACAACAAGGAATATATGATATGCACCAACACCATGCAAATCCAATTCAGGCAATTAATGGTATAGGGAAAAATGAACACATGATGTATATAAGCCAGGCTGGTATGCTTGCCCCTGGAACTAATCAATTTCTCCAGCAAGGACAAAATCAATTAGGACTTGCACCAATGCCAGCTGTCAGAAATCAGGTAAGTCTATCTTATTATCCCACTGGTAATATATTTAAATCACTACAATAATGTACCTCAATATGTATGTAATTTTGAAGTGTAGTTATTGATGAAGTTAATACAACTTAATAACAATCTATTATGTAAGTAACTTGTTTCAAATCTAAATCCACAACAGCTTTTTTTACCTATGTAGGTAGGTAAATCAAAACATTAATTTATGTGCTATATTTCATTTTGCAATTATTGAATGGTAGGAGAACATCTATATTGTATGTTTAAGATATGCTTATTAGAGAAATCATGTAGTAGAAGGTATTTTTGTTCATTATCTCTTAGGTTGTCAATAGCTTGCTTAGGTAAATGATAAATGAAAATTACACTTATTTCCCAATCCTTATATTTTGATTGAATCATACATAGTTATGCCATAATAATACCATTAAGTAAGATTCATTTGTACAAGCAAAAAGTTTTTGCAACATAAAAGTTATTTAAATAGAAACTTTAAATGTGTTCTCACTATCAGTTTCTTCTGGCAAATACAGGTAACAGTTTTTGTTTTAATTATTTGTAGTGGATGATAGCTAATGTCAAAAGCTGTATTCTATTTGAATTTTAAAGATATTGTAGAAGGTTCTGTGTTAGAAAAACCTGCAATACTGTCAGTATATAATGGACAAAATATATTTATAAATATCTTAAAATACAGTTGTTTAAGTCTTTGTCATTGCCAAACCAAATTTATGATACTGTCATTATATTTTAAGTATGAAACACCATCAACATCTTTCATCTAACACTAGAGATTTTTTGAGGCCATATTAATCTAAATGTGATTTGTTCTCTGGTTCTGTTCAGTTGTGACAAGCATCCCAATAGTAAATGTTAAATGAAATATTTTGATGTTAGGCAAACTATGCATGTTGACATATTATTCATATTAAAATAATAATTGTACGTCATCTATCATTCAACCTTGCACGGTTGAGATTTGGAGCAGTTACCTGTCCTTGGTGTTAATTTCCAGAAATTGTTTAGCTAATTGTTAGACAACTATATCCACATAACCCTTAATTAACAAAATAAATAAAATATTTAATAATTAAGAAGTTAAGAGGAGAATGACCTTGTTACAACTTCAACAACTATATACCCCAAGACTGCAGACTACAGAAATTATCTCACTGGTTACATTAGATCCTAATCTAAAAGAAAATACAGTTCCTGCCTCAACTAATGCCTTAAGGACTGCTTATTTTTATTAATTTTTAGCCTTATCCTATTTCCTAATACAAAAATACCTAATTATCTCATGTGTTAGTGAATATCTTTTACAGTTAGTAAGTATCAGGCACACCCTCCGGTAAAGGCCTCCTCTAAGGCATGCCATCTTTCTCTATCCCGAGCTATTCGGATCCATTTTTTTTATAGAACAGGGAGCAAGCAGGCAGGAGGCTCACCTGATGTTAAGTGATACCGCCGCCCATGGACACTCAATGCCAGAGGGCTCGCGAGTGCGTTGCGGGCCTTTTAAGAATTGGTACGTCTTTTCTTGAAGGACCGGACCCTAAGTCAAATTGGTTCGGAAATACCTCAGAGGGCAGCTGGTTCCACAAAGTGGTGCTGCGCGGCAAAAACTGCCTTGAAAAACGCTCAGTTGTGGAACGGCGCACGTCGAGGTGATACGGGTGGAATTTCGTATTCTGCCTCGACGTCCGATGATGAAACTCAGCTGCAGGTATTAATCCGAACAACTCCTCTGAACACTCGCCATGGTAAATGCGGTAGAAGATGCAGAGTGACCCCACATCTCTACGCAACGCCAAAGGATCAAGCCGCTCGGAGAGGGATTGGTCGTCATCGATTCGAACCGCTCTTCGTTGAATACGGTCAAGTGGAAGGAGCTGGTACTGGGGAGCCCCCGCCCAGAGGTGAGAACAGTACTCCATGTGGGGCCGAATTTGCGCTTTATATAGTTGCAAGCGGTGGCCCGGAGTGAATTACCGTCTCGCCTTGCTGAGCACACCAAGCTTTTTGGAAGCTAATTTAGCCTTTCCCTCCAAGTGACCGCGAAACTAAACGGCGTTCGATATGTCAACGCCAAGTATTCCAATGCTGGCTGTGGCTTTAAGAAGAGTGTTTTCTAAAAGGGAGTAGCGACAAAGGGTGTTTTTTTTGGTGCTCCATTTTTCCAGATTTTTTTGATGTCATCATCCCATTGAGCGGTTTTATTTTGGACCGGGGGTCCCAAAGACTTGGGGAAAAAAGGATTTGGATTGGGAGAGATTTTATATATCCTTATTAATTCCCCCAAAAACCCAATCTTTTTTTTTTTTAATTTACACATTATTAGGTGTTTGGTGGTTTTATTTTTTTTGTTTGTTTTTTTGGTCCCCCTTTTTTTTTTTTTTTTTTTATAAATTTTGTTTTTTTTTTTTTTTCCCCTCCCCCCCCTTTTTTTTTTTTTTTTTTTTTTTTTTTTTTTTTTTTTTTTTTTTTTCTTTTTTTTTTTTGGTCTATATTTTAAAATATTATATTATTTGTTACTCAAGCAGAAGACACCATCTGTATCGTTTGCCTGGTGGGCCTCTCCATGTAGTTACTGTTTTCGTCCACTTGTGATCTGTGAGGCGCGCTACATGACCCGCCCATTTCCACTTCAGGTTTTTTGCGTGGCTTAGAGCATACAAAAGCTTTTACTTTAGCTTTCGTCTCTGTATATCTTATTTATCTTATTATCGTATATCTTATTTTTATGTGTCTTATCTTATGTACCTTTTTAATATTCAGCATGCTCCTTTCCATGCCTCGTTGACATGTATTTATTTTGTTTTATTTGTAAATTTCCATGTTTGGCATGCATATGTCAGACATGGAAGAAGGCATTAGAAGGACTGCTATATAATGATTAAAATTGGTTTGAAACACGAGAGAATCTTCATGAGTGTTACCAGCATTATTTTTGTATATACCAGTATAGACTATGGACATTATAAAAGGTAAATACATATTTTAAGTTTTTGTTTTTTCTCTCAATTCAAATACTAACCAATGTCAAAAAAATTCACGGCCCTTTCACACGGTAGTCCAGTTTTTTACAGGATCCTGTTTTTTGCAGGAACCCGTTTGATGGCGAATGTGTTTATATGCTAGCGTTCACACGAGCATCCCGCATGCGGGATCCTGCAAAATACCGATCCGGTCGAATGGTGCCATTCGGTTTTGTCACTAGAAACTGGATCCGTAGTCCAGTTAAACTCGGGATCCCGTTAAATCACACATACATTTCAATAGCAGTGTTCACACGGCTTCCTGCGTCCGGTTTTTTGCGGGATAGTGGAGTGGTGGCAGCCCCCGCCCCGCGAAAAATTTTGACTCATCTCTTCTCAAATCGCTCATAACATTCCGAAAAATACCCAAATTCGAGCGTTGTGTCAGAATAGGATGAACGCAGAATCTTCTATTTCGCTGCCGACGCCGATAATACCAATAGAAAATTAGGAAAGTATTCACGTCCATTTCACCTGATAAACGGCATAGGAATGGTAAAAAAACAGGATGCAACCGTGTTCGTACGGCAGTCTTAGTTTTGCGGGACCAGCTTTTTACTGAATCCTGCAAAACTGAACTATCATGTGAACACAGTGTCCAGTTTAGCAGGATACCGTAAAAAGCCGATCCTGCAAAACTGGACTGCCGTGTGAAAGGGCCGTCACTTGTTAGAATCACAAGCTGTATTTTATTTTAAAAAATTGTGTTACAGAAGAATTTGTTAAAAATTTCTTTGGGCAAAGAAAGAACTTTTTAATCTATCTTGTAACATCTGGAAATCTGGACTGTTGCTAGAATTATATTTTTTCTCTATAATAAAGCCTATCATATCAGACACAAAAACGCATAATAAAGTCCGTGTATTCATAAACACAGTTTTGGATTTGGATGCTTAATGACTTAGGATGAATATGTAATTACTTTCATCAGTTTTCTACAGTTATTTGCTATATAACAACTATATATTGTATATATTATTTGTCTAAGTGCGGCAGTGTTTTACAAAGTTTTCCCTGATACACGAGTTCTAAGAACTATAAATATTTTCAAACTCAAATAACAATTTACAAAGATTTCCTGTCAAACTTCGCGAAGTCTGGTTTTTATTGCTTTTTGTATGACAGAGAAAACTTTTTCTAATTGGTGAAACCATGTAAAAATTTAATAATGTAGGCATTTATTAGTTATTAATCTTATTATATAAAACTGTAAAGACTGGACCGATTTTGATAGAAATTTTTGGGGGGTGCGAAGGGGGGCTGGGAATGGTTTAGATTCACAAATCAGCCCGGCAGATGGCACTGCAGTCGGTACTTTCATACTTTGCTTAATATCCTAATCGCTTTAAATATCATGCAGGACAACGTCTGTGGGGTCCACTAGTATTATATAAAACTGTAAAGAGATATAAATTTAAGTCAAAAACTAGATAAAAGTACTTTTTTACCCCAATATAATTGAGATTTTAAGATATAAATTGATTATTTTTTACCATAGTAGAATATTTTAAAATTGTATTTATGTAATGTATTAAACATTTCATCATTCATTATTATATGTATTATATATTATTGTTCGTTTGGTGGCACCAGATTCGCTTTAGGGCTATATTTTAGAACGTCAAACAAACTAAAATCTAGTTTCAAGAGCTGTCAATCTATTTTTTGTGTATGAAGTTCCGATATATTTCACGACATTGGTGCGCTCGAAGCGCGCGAAGACACAATTGTTTTGGGATACGAATTAGAATATGTACCTTAGTCTCGCTCCAGTCGCAAATTTCCATCACTTGACGTAAACTAAACTGGACTTCGAGTGTGTCTAAACACAAATATGATCGTGATGGCCTTTGACCTACGGTAGTCATATTTCGTGCTGAGTCTCGTCATGTTGTATTTCTTTTACTTGATGGTATTAATCAAGGATTTGCAAAAGACAAGTACAAGTATCTTGACCAAACTTGATTTTTAAGGAAATGGTTGTCAATGGTCACCTGGGTTCTTAATCCAATTTCGTTTTCGCTTCCACTTTGAATGTTAATCAGGAAACTGATGTATTTAAATCGCCAACTCTTTTAAAATCGTTAGATTAACATTGTAAGCCAGTTCTAATAGTCGACGATCAGATGTATTTAAATTTGTCCAGTTGAATGTTTTCTCATAGCTGGAAGCTTCGAGAGAAGCGCTTTCTGCCATAGACGATGGAAAGCTTTCGTTATATCCAAAATTGATAAGACGAATTACAATAAATAATATAAGAGTCTTTCCTCCAACTTCGATTTAGTCTCTTTGGAGTAGAGACTCTTGGGCTGTGGAGTTCAAGTGCACAGGCGCTAATTAAAGATTTAAGTTGGCGCCTGGTTGGTAGTACCGGTGAACCCAGAGCTGGTGCTTTCCACGCCCAACGAATAAGTATCGTAATACAGTGAGAAAATGCTACCAGCATTAAAGGTACACTGCCACTTTTTATATTTGTTTTAATTTTCTTTTTATTACTTTTTAATAATTTTATTTTGACTACGTAGGTTAAGAAAATTGTAAATACTGTATATTTGATTGTTATGTTTAGGTTTTAATAAATAATATTTTCGCAACGTGATATCCGTAATTATTTCCAGAAAATGTCTTCGTGTTGCAGCGTCTTTATCTTTTCGCTATAGCTATCTAATTTCTCGACCTCCTGGGATGGTGCAACACAAAATTTTAAACACATTTCCCCTCTCTTTCCTACTGTTTTTCTTCCTACTACTATATTAATCTTTGGATGACTAATGTGATAGTCTTTTAAGTTGCCGGTAAACAAGTTATCTGTAGATTTCTCATTGCCGATAAAGTTTCTTATGGTTTTGACTCATAATTGACTGCTAATTAAGGTTAAAAAAAATCTGCTCGATGCGGCCTGCAGATAGTTCTCGATATACCATGCTGTCAGCATTTAATGTCTAGTTTAAGTAACTTCGTGTGGCTAGAACTCAGTATTTCCCTCGTTTCAGTACTGTCCTGCATATATTAAGTTTTATTGTAAGACCTAATACATGCGACAGCTACAATATAACTTAATACTGTCTAACCTTCTGACAAAGGTGAGAGTGGATTTAGGGAGACGAGACTTTGAAGAGAATATAGATGTTGTAAATTTCGCATCAATCACACTTATTCCCAAACATACAAGATAAAAAGGCATATCTGTTAATAACAATGACTTAAAACACAAGAATATAAAAAGTTCTCTTACTATAATTAATAATAGTAAAACTGGTTAATAAAGGACTGTGAAAATCTTCAAAATTTTAGATTTTTAACCCCGATTTACAGTGTGTGTTTGCATAAGTTTCTCTTGTCTCGTTGCTTCATTAGTGGTAATATGTGTTTTGCTTTGCATTCTATAGGGTAACTCTTCATTCTTTAACTACTAAAATTTCTGATTATATTCTTAATTTGTGACTCCTAGAACTACACAGAAGAAAGTAATCAGGTCATAATCTAATCTGGTAGCTTACTCGCTACTCCTTCCTTACTTTTTTTAAACTGGTGCCTGTTATTAATTAAGTTTAACAATGATTGTGGTTATTTTAAAATGTGTTGTTCCTAATTTATCTACATCTAACTTAATAATTTTAATTAGTAGTTTTAAACAAAGCATTTTTAAAACATTGTCAATATAATTTAAAAACTTGAAAAATCTGGGGGAATTAAATTACGGCCCCGTTAATATATATACAAAAAACTTTTTATTTTGTCTTAATAAATAATATTAATAACAATCTTAATTTTAATCTCTGATGTTATAACTGAACCACACACGTAAGACAAATTACTTAAAATGCTTAAAAATAAATTAGTATTTATATTATTGTAAGTGCATTAACGTTTTTATTAATTGCTGCGAAAGCTTTCAATAACTTTCTAACGTTTTGCATCCATTGAAAATTAAAAATCAATACATACTGCGATGCTCTATGGTCAAACGATTGTGCAATGTGCGCCATCTATTACACGTTTAGTAAAACTTGACTCCTTCCGCGACGCTCCCCAGAACGGAGAGAAGTTTACGCAGGCGCTGTGTTCGCCGCTCGGCGTATGTCCTTTGTTCGAAACAAGTCAACATTGTATTTTCAAGTTTACATTTCCTACATAAAATTTGCAGCAAATAGGCAATTTAGTGTAAGAGATGTGTTGTGTCATTATTAAAATAAGTATCACTATAATTTAGATGAAAAGTCAATGTGTAGTGTTTCGTATTTCGATAAGCTTTCGTTGTGGTACATGATTGAGCTTTAGGTGGATTGTACGCATGAAACCTTTGAGTGACTTTTTTTTCGAACCTAATGTTAAGGATATGGGCCCCGACATGGTAAGTCTTTGTGTTTTACTGTGTAGATATGTGAAATAACTTTATGTTTTAAGTCATGAATTCGTGGAAATGTGATTTTTCACAGCAACAGGTCCGTTTTTGTTTTGTTTACTTGTCACCGGCGTCCGCCATTTCTGAATCGTAGTTGCTCACCGGTACCTTTTTAGACTAATTCAGAAAACCAATACCTTTGAAAGCTATTGTAAATCCATTGTTAGATAGATATCATAATGCGTTTGATTACTGGTATACATCTAATTTGATGTTATCGATATTGAAATTCTTACAAGTAGCTTACAAGGCCATGTTCACTTGATAGGAAACTAACTAGAACTAGTCAGCATTTCTTCTTTACAATATCACTATTGTAAACAACAAAATAACATAAAAGTGTGCTAAATTATTGACTAAAGTGTATTATATTCCAATCTAAAGTACAACATCTTAAGCTGGCTAGCGCAACAGTCTACATAAAAATACTTCTAGAAGAGATCTGTGCAATCCTTAGTTATAAAGTTCGTAAAGATGATTTTATTCTGGTTTTTTATAGTAACCATTGCTACATTAATATAAATATGATTATTGTTTTTGACTTATGATAGTTGATGTTGAATAAAATATATTTGAATTGCATGAATTCAATAGATAGTGTGTATGTGTTAGGGGACAGTGGCTACATTGGATTCTTCGGCTAGCAGTTTGCTGCTAGACATTATCAAAGCAGAATAAAGCACAAAGTGAGCGGGTAACAAGATTTATATCACTGCTTCTACTGAATGTTCATGTGCTTTAAATCATTCTAACAATATATGATGCCCTTATTATTTTGCATTGTTATTCTATCTCTGAAGCCATAGGATATAGTTATTATTTTGTTGTTTTCTTCAAATTTACAAAATGACATCTAAAATGTGCTTCAGTTATGTTTAATTAAAAGTTTTAATGCTTTTCCGCACAACTCAATGTGTTTTCTGTTAAATATACTTGTTTTACTTTAAAAATGTTATTTAGTTCATCTCTCTGTTGCATGATTTTGTGGAACATTGAAATGAAGCATGTCATGTTATAGTGAATCAAATAATTTAAAGATAAAAAAATTATATTGAAAAACCTCATAAATTTTTAAAAATTAAGCTGTTGTGGGGATTTGAATGTTAAATATAAAATTTATATGTTTATAAAATTCTTCTTAAAGTAAATAATTGTTTTTTTATTAAACAATATTTGGCTAATCATTATTATATGATTATATATTATTCCTTTAAGAGTATACAAAAATATGATTCAAAAGGTTATTTTTATTTAGATTGCACCTGCTGCCAAAAAGCTATGGGATAAAGGCCCAGGTGCGGGAGGAGACAGCAAGGGTCCTCCTCAACTACCTCCTTTGCAGCTTAATCCTGAACAAATGTGGCGTGACTCCACCTGGTCTGCTCAGGGTAAATTGCTTACACAATGTCTTTCATCTCAAATAGAGTCCTATATAATTCCTCTCTTAATTTATTTGGATGTTATAGCTTCCTTAGTTGTTACATAATCTATTTCACTCTTTTAATGTCTCATCTATTGCCTTATAAGTATTAATATTATATGTTTGTAAACATTATATTATTTCTGGTATTCTTATTTCATTTCATTATACATAACATAAATATATTAATTGTAATGACAGTGGAACACAATGTTGGTGTACCGATGATGGGTACACGACGCGGTGTAGCCTTTCCTGGTGGAGACGCGAGCAGCATTCTGTCACCAAGGGACACAGCTGGCCTTGGAGTAAAGATGGTTGAATATGTGCTGGGTGGATCACCTACAGGTAATTAGATTACATTAGAACTAATACATAGTTGAATTATATCTTTCCCAAGGTTTAGGACAGTTCTAATGATAAAATCTGAAGTTTAGATCTGCTATTATCAAACATACATCATTCTAATACATAAGTTATTTAAATTTCTGTCTTATGCTGGGAGAAATTACTATTTACATTTAGTAAATATACTTTACTTATAATCGGTAATTTATAAATTATTTTATAGTACCTAGTTTTTATTACCAGGTTCATAGTTTAAGAAAAATGAGTAAAACTAAGTTTTTGGAATTAGATCTTTCTAGAACATTTATTTTTAGGATTATCAATGAACTAAGACATGGAAATAATTCTTGCTTAAATCTAAACTTTATATTGTAACATGATTCTTATAAGAATAAAATATACATTATAAACACACATATTATTATGTACTCAAGTTGCTTTTATGGAATTTTACTGAAACTATATTGTGCTTCCTATAAATACCAAAACATAGAGATTGGTAGTGCAAAAAATTTAGTTTAGAAACTGGTTTATTTACATATTACTTTACTGGGGTACTCGACCATTTCAAGTTCGAATTTTTTGAGGGATCACATGATATTTCGAATAGAAGCAGGTGGGGTTGCTTCCGGTGGCAACGAGAAAGTCGCTGGTGTAGTGTCGGGCCTGCGAGGCATGGTCCTTGAAGAACGCAACGAGGAGAAATCAGGATCACCGTTTGACAAAGATCTGCATGAACTACATGACCACGGGCAGTTGCCTAACGGCCTTCATAATGGCCAGGAAGACGACAAGGCTTTTAAGTAAGTGTTCATATCTGCTATAGCCTAAGACTTATTTTATTTTTCTTTAATTATTTCAATAATTCATTAGCGATAGCTTTGTTCTTTAGGTAAATTTCAATTAGATGAAATACCATATGGCAAACCATTTTTATTTTATTTATAATAATTATTGTAGCTTAGTCAACACAGTTGCAAGATTCTATATGAAGTTAATTAGTAGGCCTAAATAAGCTCGATAACGCGTTATGGATAGATTCGGCCCCGGTGACTACGATGGGGCGAGCGTGAAGGTCGGTTAGGAGCTCGAAGCGGGCCGGCGCGGCGCGGGCAATAACCGCGAACGATCATGGCCTCTGTCAATGCCAAGCGCCCCACTCTGTTTAATTTTTACCGTCTGCGCCCGCGCAGCCCTCCCCACTGCATACGTAATACTTTATCATACTGTCCAACATATGATTCACAGATTACACAGATATTCTAGCATAGAAATTGTATTACAATTAAATTAATTATTGTAAATACTAAATATCAAAAATCGTTCATCGATATTTACTTAATATTTTACGACCACTGTGCTCTGGACATAATCACATAGCAATATTAAAATGTCAAGTGTACGAATAAAAAGCTTTACCTAAACCTAGTCGTACACGTTGCAGTCGCACTCCGGGCTCTCGGCAGCCGTCTCCGGCCGAAGAAGACGGAGGGGTGGGCATGAGCCAGAGCGTGGGGGTGCGAAACGGCGAGGCGGCCTTCCCGCTGCTGCCGCCGCACGCGATGCCCGCGCACCAGCCGCAGCCACTGCACCATTTGCCGCATCTGCAGCACCCGCAGGTCTCGATTCTCACTAGTTAACATGGTTACGTCAATAGTCAAATTGTCAAAAGATATTTACTTATGTAGGAACATAACTTATTTTAAACTGTAAACTGGTTAGTGTGAAGTAGTGTAGTAACTAATACAGTATTATTTTTAGTCTATATTTAACACAAATAATAATAATAATAAAAGTCCGTATAATTAACAGTCTCTACAAAAGTAGATTTGTTATAAGAAAAAATTCTTGCTTCCTTCAGTACCATAGATCAAGACCCTTTCATGGATGCAGCCTTTTCCAAATGTCTTTCCGTTTTTTTTATAATCCATGTTTAATAAAGTTATTATATGAAATTTATATCCTATAACAGTCCATTGTCAATTCATATCTACAAACGAGAACATAATTGCCAGTTTTCTTACTTAAACTTATGTATTATTGATTCGAACTTACCACTTCAATGTAGAGAGTAGCTCATCTAAATCAGTATTCCTATACATTATATTATGTGATAAATCTAATATGTACATATATTTTGTATTCCAGCATCACCCAGGAATGTTAGGTGTGGCTCCGCTCCAGGGTCTGCCCCATCCACAACATCCACAGATACATCCTGGTGAGTTAATTGTGATTTAATATGCATTAGAAAAATAGTCGCTCTAATGTTACTATAGAATCATATATTTTAGATGGACAACAGCATAGATACAAATTTGAAACCTAAGTTAGGCAGATTTAGGTAATTGACCAAAAACTCAAAAGGCCAGCAACGCACTCGCGAGCCTGTTATTATTGTGTGTTCGTGGGTGGTGTTACTTAACATCAGATGAGCCTCCTGGTCCCTGTTCTATAAAAAAACATGAGGGAGAATTCCAATATTATAGAGCAGAGACAGATCGGCTTTTTTATAAAACGTGAAAAGATTGTTTGTACCACGTTTAGATGGAAATAACATAGTTACCTTGACAATAAACATTTTTTAAATTTTTTTTAAATTTTTTTGGCGGGTGGTGTCCGTTTTTAAAAATTATACGATATTTATATACATATTTTGAAATATGTATAATAAAGCCGATTTGTGCCTGTAACACGGTATACGAGATATTTTCTCAAATGCAATTACTTTCAATCAGTTTTCAAAGAAATTTTTTTTTTTTTTTCACAATTTCCTCTTTCCCCTTTCTTTTCCCTCTCTTTTTCCACTCAATTAAAACAAATCAAGAAGAACAGTTATACCGTTGATATTATATATATATATAACATATATATATTTATAGAGTTAAAATAAATTGAAAATGTCTTTCAATGCGTTTTTTTTTTTTTTATTTATTTACATAATAATAATAATAAATAATAAAAAGACGTTATAAATTATTATTTATTACGTAAAAAGTAGCTTCGTTGCTACATTCCTACAAATAAAACAACCAAGTTAAATACTAAAACTCAAGCATGAACTTAGTGAAGTGTGGAGCAGGGGAGGGGGGGAGGGGCGGTCTTGGTCTTTTTTTTTTTTTAAAAAAAGCTAACATACGAAGATGAAATAAAGAGATATAATTATTATTAAACTGTCGTCGAGGCGCTATGTCGACGCGATGCAACATTCCTTTTCTCTTTTTTTTCTAAATTTGCATTGAAGACGATGGATGAAATGAACAAAAATATAAACATTGGCAACCCTTATGACAAATTTCGGCTAATAGACGATATACGATAGACTCGTAATTTAAATAAAGTGAATGTTAAACAAAAAAACAAAATTTTTCTAAACGTACTCATACGGTATGCACTTCTGTGTCACTGGGCACTGTTGAATCTCTATTAGCACTAGTTGACTGGAAGAGATAAGCCCGTTGAATCTGGCCATTAGATTTATTAAGGTTTAAAATTACAAATTAAAGTTTCCTTGTTTTGAAAGTACTGTTTTATTTATTTAAATTCTTCCTCGTCTTTATATTTTGTATTCATGTAGAAATAAAATAAAAAAATAAATGCGTAAAACCGGTGATATGTTACTATATGATTCTATAGTAACATATCAGGTTGTTATAGTTGAAATTTGTTAGTCTTATTTATGCCAAAAGTAAATTTGACAATATTTTAGGACATTATATTCTTTGATTTGTGTAATAAGCTCAATTTTTTTTGACATTCATTGTATTTTAATGGGAGATTCTCCTTGAGAGTTGAAATCAAGTCAATGATTATATAAACCAGTTGCTAATATAAAAGTACTTAAAAATTAATTCATTTTTATACATAAATAATCTTTATAATAATTCATAAATGTTAATGCTATTGTGGGTTTGTCTCGTTTACTAATTTTAATTTATACATATTTTTAAAATCTTACATTTATGGAAGGATTTTTTAAATTAGAAAATAATATAATTCATTATTTGAGTTGTGTTACATAAGTGACACTTATTATCCAGCAAAGAAATACTAAAAAAAATAAAAACAATTTAAATATACTAAGGTTTTTTATTGTATTATATAGTCTCACCCAATTATTAATACAAATTAAATCAGTCTAATGACACTCTTATAACTATATTTCTCTTCGACTTCTCTTTTTCTGTAAAATTCTGTTTACACTGTGTGTCATTACTCTGAGGAAAACAAAGCAATTAGACATATATATTCTTACGGAAATCCCATTAAGAATTTAAATATTATCGCCTAATGTGTCTAAAAAAATATATAAAAAGTTGTTTTAACAAAAAATAAACTATTATATTATATTTGGTTTTAAATCTATAACTAAACATGTTTTGTTTTCAGGCATGACTCTGAATGACTCCATGAACCAACACATTGAACTTGTTCTACAAATGGAACAGCATCCTCAATTTGACAACAACAGCTTCGCAAATACACAACAGGTAATAAATAATAAAGTCAAAATCGTAGTATATTTATGAAAAACTCTTACTAATAAATACTCATATTAACTCTATTCTACTATAATAAATACTAATAATAACTCTTATTAATTAAACGTACGTGATACCTTTATTTTACTTCATGTGCCTTCAGCTGGGTCTAACCTTCGGAAAAGGGGACATATGATTCGGTATATATCTTAAGTTAACGAATTACATAGGTTATCATGCCCTATTTTATTGTCCGTTGATTGAACTGACAAAAGTTCTATTATTTGTTAGTGCCTTTAGTAGTTAGTTAATTTTTTGTATTTTTTATTAGATAATTTTGTTATTCCTAATTAATTCCTTGTTTGTTTTATTTTTTCATTTGTTGGGCATTTTTGTTGATTTATCGTCCTGTTAGGACAGGATTGTTTTTTATAAAAAAAAAATATATAATATTACATTTTAGCATGTTATAATTATTTATATCTTTGAATCAAAGCCTATTTTAATTTTTAGGTACGATAACAAATGCTCTTATGACAATAAAACGTTACAACGCTTTTTTGATTATACATAATCACTACGCATAGTAATAATAATTACATATTATTAAAAACGTTTGTGTTTAGTTAGGAGTGTAAACGAACGATGTTGTTAAACGCTTGAGCGTGAAACTCATGCCTGAAGTCGTAAATTCGAACCCTGCTGTGAGCACCAATAGATTGCACGTGCTCAATGAACACTAGCTTTATACGCTAAATAAAACATACCGAGGGAACAGGCTCAGGGGTTGTAGCGCCACTTATTTTTCAAGGGGTTTCTACAATAATATGTCTAAAGAGTTTAATAAACAATTATTCTAAGCGTTTCTTGAATTAAAATTGCTTTATTAAGTGCCAGCTCTATATCCCACGAGAAAAGGCGGCTTCACTTTCCCCTACATAAAAGTTGTAGCAGTGCCAAGATTATTAATAATATGCTAAATGCCATTATATGCTAATAATGGTATGGATATGTCATCACTAAGTCATTGAGCCGCTTTTTTATCACATCAAAATCTTATTCTTAGTATAGCATTTATCATGAGAGCAAGCTATATCAGCTATCTACTAAAAATTTAATGGTTGTGAGACAAGAGTAATTTTTATTTTAAGTCTTAATTAGCCGTCTAAAAAGGCTATTTGACAAGATTTTAAAAAACTTTTCAGTTTATTTATTATTGAATACAGAACAAATTATTATTTTTTATTCTTAATTGCTTTAACAGTTCAAATTAAACATTCATTATTTAAAGAAACCTGCCAAAACCAGGCAAGATGGCGTCGCCTAGTCCTTATGACGTTTTTATGTGTTAAATATCATTCTTAAATTACCCATATTTCGATTACGATTAGACAGGCAAAGACGTATTATTTACATGCATGGTACGTCATTGGTGAGTCAACTAATCTGTGACCGTTTGGTGTCAAGTGACGTATAAAAATCTATATTTTTAAATATATTTTATAACGTAATTTACTTATTACTCCATAATGATTTTAAAACCAAGTTTTAAGTGAAACTATTGTAAGAAGGTCTACCTTCATATTTTATTTGACTTATTTCTGTTTCTAATAACCATCTGTATATTAGAAACAGATGTGTATCTGTTTGTTTCCTGATTATTAAATTCATATCATTTTATTTTGCATACTATCAAATAGCCTATTGGTGAATTAAAATGGTAAATAGATATTAAAATATAAGGTTTTGAAGAAATAATTGTAGCTGAATTGCTTTAAAAGGGCTGGTGGATTGTAACCCTACAAATATTTATGATTTAACCCCGCATGCTAAGCGGGAGTTATTTTATACAATTATATTTTTATGTCTGCTACTCTAACTACGCGCGCTGACGGTCCTCGCCGACGATTAGCTTGGTATCATGTTCTATCTACCTAAGCTAGATTACTATAGTGGATTTATTATTCCAGTACGCTGGTGGCGTGGGCGTAGGGGGAGTAGGCGGTGGCGTGGGCGGAGCGGGGACAGGCGTGGGCGGTGGCGCCCTCGTCAACGGCGCTTCGGTCCAGCCCGCTCCTGACTCCTCGCAGCACCATCAGCCCTTTGACGTACAGGTCAGTTGTAGATATGTTTCTTTATCCTCTAAATTTTCATTCAGCCGTTCGCATAATGTTTATTTTCAACGTGTTGTTAGAACTGAATTCTGGTTGCTGAAATCTAAAAAAAAATCTAATACTTTTTATAAAAATAGGCTTACAATTTCGCTCTTTATAGAAAAAGGTACAACTACAATAATCGCAAAATCGAGCCTTTTAATTTTCAGATTTTAAACGCTAAACTAGATTAATTTGCTTTGCAAGTAAAATGTGTAACATGACATCTACATACCCCAAACACCAAGAAAAGACAATAAAATAAAAATCATAGTTTAGACAAAATAAACAGTAGGGTGTCTGATTAACCAACTATGGTTGATAAACACCGCAGTTACACAAATAAAAAAATCATTTCTCGATTGAAATAAACAGACACAATAGATGAAAGTGAATTTGATCATTCTTTAGAACGTACGTACCTCGAACGGTCGTACGCAAGATGAACATCAAATTCCTATACGCTTTGTTTTAGATATACATATTTAAATCTTTATTATTATTTTTATTAAATCTGCAGTTAACTGTACCCCTGTAAATCTTTGATTTCCTTCACTCTTATAAAGTGATTGAACCCCGCCTGTGCCATATTTAAAATGAATCGGGGACCGTGCTCTGGTAGAAGAAATGATTAAAAATCCTAATGGCCCCAAAGTACAGCCTTGTGTTACGCTAGACCTGGTGCAACATTTTTTAGACCTTAGTCCAGCGTACTATTCGCCATGCGACCAACTTTAACTTTATTTATAGAACATTTGTAAGAACTTATCATCGTCAACCAAGTCAAAAGTCTTTCTTATCTCAAAATTTCGCATGTTCTCCGCTGTCTACTCCGGAATGATAGTCATGTAGCTTAATAGATTACTCCCGGTACTTCTTGTTAATCGAATCATCTATACATATACACTATACAGCTGTCGCTGTTGGAAGTTACACAGTATGGACCCTGGTTTTTGAGAGTTTTCATAGCTTAAAATTTCAAATCGGTAACCCAAAATTCTAGGATGGACACCAGACCAGACATGCGGCTAGTGGGGTATCCTGATTTTTAGCATCTCAACGAAAAAACTATGTTAAAAAAAAGTCGGTAGTTTGTCGACATTTCTAGTCTATCCTATAAAGTAAATACTAATTAGTAGCTATAAAAAATTGGAGATGTATTATGCTTATATCAAGATAAGCTTGTATTAAAGTTAAGACTATTTAAATAACAATATCAATCGAACCGTTTGTATCATGCATTATTTTAGTTTATAAAGCAATGCTCTTTTAAACACGTACAGGCATCTTCATTCAGGCTCTTTAAAGCACGTTGGAACACATAAACGAATAAACATAAGGTTTTGCGAGGTTTACTAGGAAATCAATTCTTGTGCGATTGTAAAAACTGTTAGCATGAAATCAGTCAAGTGTTATGTTGCATTACTTATATAAATTATCGTTTCTAGTCAACTTATGAAATACGTAACTGCCAAATCTATTTTGCTACTGGCAGGGCGTTATCAATCAGATATTTTAACAAATCTGTTAAACAATTGTTGTTTACCCATGATATATGCGGATGTTAAATTATGAATTGGGGTATTCGGAAGGATGACTTATTTGACGGGATCTTTTAGATTTTCTTCGTTTCGGTAACGTTACGCATCATTGAATTGCGGTGTCTCATTACTAATGGGATTAAGTTATGTTCTCTAACTATACTTTTGGTAGAATTTTGGCTTTGAAGAATCACACCTCAGTTGATAACTCTATATTCAACTTACGTAAGAAACTAACCGAAACCTTTTAGTCGAATACGCAATATGTCGTAATTTACTACTTTACGAATTTAAAGTATTTGTGGAGCTTGTGATTTATTTTTTAAACTATGTTGGAATTCAAAAATAAATTATTACTGCCTAAATATAGTCGAGAAAATACGAATGAATTTTTTTTTGAAAAAAAAAACAAATTTATATTGATTATAATATTTATTTAATGCCAATATCTATAGAATAATTAACTAAGATATTATGAGTAGAAAAAACATACTCCTTGGATACTTTTATTCCTCTTTATTTCAAAATACTGAGAGAGAAAAATCGGCCCTAAGAGAAACACTAATATAACATGTTTTTTCATTCCTCATTCATTCATTTCATTTTATTCCTCGTTACAAAAAAATCTCAAAGCCACCTCTAACTTTTGTCTAATTTCGTTTTTATTCAATCATAGCGAGTATTATGGAGGTAAAAATGAATTGAAACACAGCACATTAGGTTTGCCTAGATGGCTAGCGATTTTATGATATCTATACTAATATTATAAAGAGGAAAGATTTGTATTATATAATTTACGAGGTATTTAAATAAAAAGCGTTTGGCGTTTACTTCATATTTCTTCCGCGAAACACTATATCGTCCGTCTCATCTCACGCGAACTTCAGGCATACGTTTGTTTCACTAGTCAGTCGCCCACGCTCCATTGAGACGAGAAGATTACCTACGCTTCTTAGTAGCACTCGATATAATATTATAATTACCACCAGTAAAACAAAAACCATTCCAGAAAAATTAAACTAAACACTTTCGAATTTAGAATAGGTATTAGTAAGAAGATATAAATGTAATTATTTAATTTAAAAAAAAAAAGATTCCCTGAAATTTCAAATCAAACCGCGTAGTATATGTAAAGTAAACATAACTAAACTAATTATACTAGTGTGGTACGTGGACCCACCCCTAAATTTTATTTTTTAGACAAAACTTTGTTTTTATTTTTTTATGATACAGCATACAAAAATACAAACACAATTTTTTTATTATTGTAGATATTATTTAGTGAGTTATTTTTATTGAATTAAAAAAACGTTTCCTAGAAATTATATACATGGCAAAACAAATCTTTGCCGGGTCAGCTGGTTATAATATAGGGTAAAAGCCGGATAGTTGCCTCGGACGGATACATGCCCCGGTGTTTAAAAAACTATGTTAAGATTATAAGTTGTATTGGCGATTTACTACAATAAGTAGTGACTGTCCCTCAGACCTAAATGCCACGTAAGCCATCGGAATAGGCCCAAGTGTTTTGTCCGTGTGAGCAAAAATCTTCCGCGGCGAAACTTTGTCGGGCGTTATAATTATATTGGTAAGTAATTTCTATTGAGTATTTTTATTACTGATCGTGGTTTCAGTCAACTTTTTGTTTCTTTGCATGCATTAGAGTTTAAATTACACTGTTTATCATGTTTTATTGCTAAATAATTTTTATTTATTTCGCAAATAAAAAGGGCAAGTATCCGCATCAAAAAGGATAGTCGCCCTACTTACTGTCGCGGATAGTTGCCCCTAGAGTGAGTAAAAATTTCTTAACACGCAAAGACAAATTTTATTTTTTTGCTGTTTTTTTATGTTTATTCGAATTTACTTTGTCTCTAACTTGGTAAATTAAATAAATATCTACTCCACCGTTTTATATATTTATTATAGATAAGCAAAATGCCTCATCAACATCAACTGGACAGAAAATGGTTAGCACTTGCCTTCGAAAATTGAGACAAAGTTGGGATTAAAGCACAACTTTATTAATGAGAGTAAAATGGCTGGACCACAAAGCCAAAATAGCTTTCTTGAAAGAAATCCTGATATAACTTTGAGACAAGCTGAGGGTTTATCAATTGAAAGAGCGAAGGGTCTCAACAAATAGAAGGCGCAAATATTCTTCTAAAAACCTTGACAACTATTTTAACTGAGAATAATTTGCTGGATAAGTTTATTTAACATGGATGAAAGCGGTGTCCAACTCAATAATAAAATTGGTAAAGTATTAGCTAAGAAAGCAGTTAAATCAGTTACTTCCGGTGAAAAAGGAGAAAAAATTACTGTTGTTTCTTAATATTTCAATTTGTACTTAATAAAAGATCAGTAAATTATAAAGACTGTTAAATAAATAATAAAGATTACTCTATTTTATATAAATTTCTTTCTGTCCAAAATAAAAACGCACAAGGCAAGTATCCCCGAAGCATTTTCTACGCTAGGCTACTATCCGCCATAGTAGGCAACTATCCCTTTTCTGAGAGGTGAAATAAAACAGTATTTATTCAAAACCATTGTTAATTATGTATACAAAAATAGGCTTTTATAGAAGATAAAAGACCTATGTTGCGAGATACGTACTGAATAATTTTCAGCAAGTTCATATTTAAAAAATATAAAGCTTTTTTGAAAAGTGGGGCAACTATCCGGCTTTTCCCCTATTTTATTAGTACAGATGTTTGGCTCTGACAATTGCAAATAAATACACTTAGGCCTAGGTAAGTAGGTTTGCATACACAGTGCTTACCCTTCGCGGTGCCTTTGGTATGGGTATCCCCATACAAAACTTCCACCTTAAGCTTAAGCACTCGTTAAGTAAACCACATCTTAATAATTTATCTAATTGTATTCCATACACTATGCACCGTTCAAAATTCCCTCGAGTTTGTACCATATATGCGCAACCGTTGCGTCGCCGTTTTGCGTTTGTCACTGAAATGGGCGGAGGGGGACGCGCGGGTGAAATCATAAATTTTGCTAGCTTTAAGCCCGCTCATAAGGGCCGATTTACATTATCTTAGCGTTTAGCAGAGTGCTTTAGGATAGTACAGTTGAAACATGTAAACGCTACTTGCTTTAGTACGGTTCTACTTGACTTTCAAGTTGAATCAAAATAGAATCGCTTTTTATTTTTGTTTCAAGTGATACCCCTCCCGCACCCGCGCAACCCCCGAGATCTTCCCTCGTTGTGTGTAAACACGTAATTTAGTAAAATCTTTAGGAGAGTGCACAAGTGCCGTGAAACGCGTGCGTGTTTTTTGATTTTTAAAGATGGCTAAATGGTCGGAAGATACAACTATCAAATTTGTGTCTGAATATGTTGTTCACGAATGTTTGTGGAACGTTAAAAACAATTTATACAAAAACAAACAGGCTAGGCACACTGCCTTAAAAGAAGCTATTTTATTTATTATTTTTATTTAATTTATTTATTTCAAATAAAATCTCGTCTTCTATTTGTTCCATAACTACTGTTAGTATTTTGCGTAGAATAGTATTTGCCGACGTCGTTGCGCGTTCATTGTGGCGCTGTAATGATACTCTACTGGAAGAAATGTAAAAGTTTACTCGCAACGCACTAAAGCACTAAAGAACTTGCCTTTCAACTTGTACTAAAATACTCTCCTAAACACTAAGATAATGTAAATCGGCCTTATGATCATCGTTTGTAAGATTAAGCTAGTAATAATTAATAGTTACATAACAAAGATTTCTTTTCAATAACCATGTTTCGATATATGTATATTAAGATTACATTTCTTGTAGGCAATGTTAAAAATAAAAATGAAATCGCGATGATGAATTCGGTTTAAAAAATGTGTGCGTCGGGCGTCCCGACGTCAGAAGTGATAACTTAAACTAATCGAAGTTGAACTATTTCTGTATTGTTCCGAGGATCATCTTCTATTTTATTCATCATATTTATTATTTTTTCTTTCAAATACGGTGATAGTTTGAGGTTATAAAATATAAAAACCCGTTAAAAATGATAATAAAAGTTTGTGAAAGTAATGGTCTTCCAATGGTCCCGATTACTATTTCAAAGAAATTCGTGTACAACTATACAAAACGTGTAATGAGTATCAGCTCTCAGAAATTGAGATTAATAGGATTACGTGACTGTCAATATGGTTTAAGGATATTAGTAAAAAAAAATGTGCACTTATTTAACTAAAGTAATATTTGAAGCCGTTCACATCATTTAAGTTAACTGACAACTTTTCATTACTGTCTTAATCATAACAAGAAATACTTCTTGAGCATGTTTTTTTACTTTCTATTTCAAATAACTCTTGCATAGCTCACCAGGTGTCAAGAACCAGAAGGGTGGGAAAAATTTCACGTGCCGACGGCCTTTTTTCATGAGTTCTGGCTTATTATTTCGATTGTATAGATAATCTTGATTTGGTATGTACTATCGTTTCAAAGTTGAAAAGTTAGTTGAAAAGACGTTCGTCTAGAAAGA